TTAATAAGTCGATTGCCTTTGCAAATTACGAATGATCCATTCGCGGTTCAGTTGTTTTTTGGGTCTTCCTTCCGTTAAACATCGTTTTTATTGGTGAGTATGATTAGGTTATTACACATGGTTAATGTAACAAAAATAGTACAAATAATTTAAGCAAGTCACTTATTTTTAAGTTTTCTTTCATTATAAACCAGTAATTTTCTCGCTTTAAACTATCTTCGGCAATAAAATAATTGGAAATCATTGAATAAATTCTTGAATATTACACGTACTCCTACTGGTTTAAAGTCGTCATTCCCGAAATTAAATATTAAGATTTATTTCATTATTATTGTATATCATCGTATTAGATTGTTAATAAAGCCTTTTGATTTCAATGTTGGGTGATATTACAATTTTAACGCCAAATCTTATTTAATAATCTTTTTCGTTACTATAATTAATAAGTGTATTTTCATTGCTATAATATTGTAATTATTAAATAAGACGTTTGACTTAAACAAATACAAAAGACATTTGATATATTTAATTGACATTTTATTTTTATATATTTGTCGGGGTAACCCCTGTCTGATATTACTTAAACGAAAAAGTGCCAGTCATACAATAATGTTTCACGTGAAAAATATTATTTATAAGTAGCTATAAAATTGCTCTTCTTACACATATGCAAAATTAAAAAAACATCCTTAATAATAAAATTAAATATTTAAAACTAAAAAAAAAATGATTTTTATTTTATTGTAAAATATCAATCCACAGTGATAATTATTATGATTCGATTGCAGAGTGCTGAGCTCGTAACCCAATTTTTTGATCTTCAGGTAGATCTTGCCACATATCAGATACTTGTTTACTACAATTTAGACATCATCACCTTGTATGGCCTTTCTTGATAAATGATTGGACGTTTCATTTCGAGGAACTGAATGATGGACTGCGTATAAATTATTGATCCCGATTTCTTTAATAAAGAAAATTATAATATAAAAGCATTTATTTCTACTACTTACTTACGGTGAATATGCCGTCGAAATTATTTTGAATGTGATTCTGAATGTAAACTCCGTCTTTAAGAAAGGAAATTTCCATCACTTTCATTATATACGATTATATAATTTCTTTCTCTTTCATTTTAATAGAAATAACAAGGGTTCCCTCATCGCGCTTAAGGTACACAAAATCATCATATTAGTTTATTGAAGATAACATACCATACACCATATTAGTTTAATTAATTATGTGGGTACTCTTTTATTTGCCTATAAAATCCTTTTCATTTATTACAGAAGTAATAAATATGTAACCAAATATAGCGGTGATGAAAGGAAAGAGCTTTAGTGGAAAAAAAATTCATGCTCAAAAGACAAAGGTTGCATTATTATAAGCTGGATAAAAACAGGAGTCACGGGAACTCTTACCTTTTTTTTCGTGTAATAAAAGATAAAGAACGCCAAACAATATAAATAATATTATCAATTGTTTTTTATTGTTACGCTCGTTAATATCCGACATATTGAGTACGTTACATATGATGAAATTGTTCATCCAATTACATATTAAAGTTAGCGAAAAGTAACCAATGCCACTGGACAAAGGGCTGCTGTTTATTCTATTACGGGATTGTATACTGTAGTATCCGCGAAAATGATCTGACATGTGAATTACGTACTTCATGTATTCATCAATTCTATAAAGACTTAAAAAAAATAACAATAAAGTTTTAATTAGATAATTTCTAATTAAATTCCGAACATATGAATTTAGATACAGTGTAGTATATTATCTTGAATGAAATTATTTTTTTACAAATCGAAACAAATAAAATTATCCTGCAGATCTTTTCATATTTTGGCTAAATGCATTAAATAATCAGGAAGCTCGTGACCATAATATTTGCTTTTATTAAAACAAAATAAGTTTTCTGATTAAAATAAACTATTTTAATCATGCATCAAGCCATTTAAATAATTTCCACGCAACTTTGACTTTTTAATTATTGCGTTAACCATACAATTTATCTAACTAATTTCTTTATTTATAAAATATTTTATTAATGATTGTGGCAGATTTACTATTATTAGTTATATAAAGCCAATTGTTATTTTAATAATGGAATTAAAAAAGTTTAAATAAATTAAATAAATTAAATTATATGGGGATGCCTTTGATATAAACAATTAGATTCGTTCACAGCATATGTATGAAAAAGGAAACAATTTCTTCATAAAATTAATCACGCTAGTGACGCTACACATATGACGCCTATAGTATTTAAAGTGAAAAAAAAATCAGTTACTATTTAAACAAGTAAACTGCCATCTTTTTATGGTGATTACAAATTTTAATGGGAGAGATACATATTTTTTTAATATGTTTTATATAACGCTTCGGATCGAATATATTTAGTCTTTCATCTGTCGGATGATATTTCCGTTTCTAATTTTTTTTTCATCTTTGCGCTGTGAAAATCATGATATTCTATGAATTAACTGACGGTATTACCATAAAGCCCTTTAATATACTTATTTTGGCTAATAATAATAGACTATTTATTCCAATATTGATAGACTTTTTACCCATCTTTTTTAAATAAACACCACCCGTGATATATCGCGTGTAATTTGTCATTTCTCCGACATCACATTCTTCCGAAACCATTTCAAGTCATTAACGTCTTACTGCGCCTTAATTTCAAATTATTTGATTTTTTTAAGGGGAGTGGCTCATACAATTTCTTTGTAATAATAATTAATAAAGGAAAATTTACCGCATATTTACTTTCAAGTTTTAAATTGCAATAATTTAATAAATAAGCTAGGGTCCTTAGAGTTGTAGTTTTTAGAATATATATTTATTTTATTAATTAACATTACATGAATCCATACATTGAATTAAATTTTTGGTATAATCCATCTAATTCACTATCCCTTTTTTGTTATTTATTGATTAGAAAACAATAAATACAAATATAAAAATGATACATGGGATATTTTTCGACCCTACATCATGTACGCCATAATTTCAGCCGAATGTTGTAACGCCGGTCATTTCGTGACATTTTTCGTGGTACGCTGGGAAAGTCGGTGTGAGGGTCAGCTAGTTGATGAATTATAAATTTCGATAAAATGATATGAAGAAGTAATTGATTCTAATTTTTATATATTTTTGTAGATTAAAGTATATATTACATGTATACCCTATAAAAAATTTTATCCGTGATTTCTGTATATGGATACATTTATGAAAAATCTAAGCAACTTGGATAATTTCCTTTTTTTGAAGCTATAATTCCGTGAATATGATGAATATGATACATTTACGGAAATAACATGGAATAAGAAAACATGGAATAAATTTTTTATAGGGTAGGAAATATAGTAAAATTGAAAATGTTTTCTATATTATTAAATTTACTCGTATTTTGATTTTGATTTGTTTATATATATTATCCATTGAAAAAATTCTTTCACTTATGATGCCTGAAGTCTATACTCGATAATGTTTTAAATTTTAGGTTTATTACGTGAGTAGCAAAATGACCAATAAAAACTCGCGATTTTGAACGAATTAAGTAAAATCAAATATGAGCATGTATAAAAAAGAAAATCAGCCAAAAAAATGAACCAAATTGACATCTGTTTTGGAAAATTGATCTGATAGTAAACGTATCTATTATTGTAAAAGCGTGCGCTAACTAAAGCTACAGAGACAATTCAAGTAATTGGAACTACCCATATCCGCCGATTTGCGGAATTTGCTGATCATCAGTTATGTGGCGCAGTACTGATTAAAATTGATCAAAACCCGTTCCTACGTAAGAAAAAATGTCAAAAAATATATAAAAAAACTTTTAAGACCTCTCCCAAAATATTTACCTCTTTAACCCGAAGCTAGTAGAAGGAGTTTCTAGAAAAAAAAGAAAAAAAATATTATAAAGTTAGTTTATTAAAAAAAACAAAAGAAAAACTTTACAAAATTCAGAATATTTAATGATTTAACAAAAAAAAATTAACTGAAAAATAATTAATAATAAATATCAAATCTGTCTCTTATACACATCTAGATGTGTATAAGAGACAGCGGTTTCAAAGTAATTTTAGATACCGCATCAAACACAAATCCGTCAGTTCAGAATGATATTTTGCATCATTGCCAATAGATAATCATTTTAAGGCAAGGATCGTTGGCTTCTGCAATTATAGAAGATGAAACATTAGATACTTTCGATGGATTTTAATGAGATTATTTTATTGGGTATCTACCCTATATTTACTGATTCAGATCCATCCTTAATTAGTGNTTTTTTTAACGCTACTTTTTGTTGAAGTAATTTCTTAATATTTGTCATATGATCATGTAGCACAAGTGTGATCATTTTTGCAAAACTTAATTTACCTAATTTTTATTAAATTATTGTCAAATTCCTTAATTTAGACGAATTTTGTTAATTCCGCAGATCGGCGGATATGCTAAACTATACTAAAAGTAAACTACGCTACAACTAGTACTACGAACCGAAAAAATAAAACAAACCTACAAAAAAAAAATGAAGAACCCGTATTTTCCTTTCGACATAAATGTCGCCATTCGTAAATACTGTTAGAAGTGGAATGATTCACACTATTCCAATAAATTGTTTAAATGCTAAATGATGTAGACTACTATAAAGGTAAAATCATTGGCTCTAGTTGATTCCATGGGTGGAATAAGAAATCGTTCCGACTGCATAGCCAGGGCAGGACTTGCCGGATATTATCATCTGAAGGTACAATAGGTCTTTTACTAGATTGTTGAAAAGTATCCAATTTCTGTTTCTTCGTATCTTGACTGAGAGACGTTGAAGTGTCACGATCATGACTGTTTTTTTTTTGCGGAAAATTCCAGGGTGTTCTAATTGGAAGTTTTATATTGTAAGTCAAGTTCCATTAGGATAGAAGTAGATTTTTTACGTTTAGTAAAATAAGGAGTTGTAAGGACGATTAAGATCACGTGATACTTCAGTACGTTTTTCCAAGTTTCTTGTCAGAAATGCCGAGTGAATTGACTTGACGGGAGTTTGTTTCATTAGCGGATTCTCTTCTTCTACATAACTCGGCGAGCCATTCTTTACTTCCCACATCAAGAAGAATCTTTTTATTATTATTGAGATCGGTAGAATAAACTTTACCATCAACAGGTATAAACGGACGTAAGTATTCAGGAATATCAGCCTCGTCATATTCCGTTGTGATTTTAGGGTATAATAACATTTACATCTGTTTGAGTATCCACAATCGTATCAGGATCTTTGTCAAATAAATTGAATTCTGGTTCTTTTCTTCTTTGTTCACGATTAAAATTTTGACGCGATATCTCGCAGAACGTACTTCTCCCGAGGAGGTATAATAAGCAGTAGCTACTTCAGTAAATACTAGTGGAGTTTCTATAGATATATTTGAAGTATTATTATTAGAGGATGCATTGGGTTGTATATTGGCTAAAGTATCATCAGAGGATGGTCGTAAAAATTTAACAGGAATTTGATGATTGTATTCATCTGTATAAGGTAAATCCTTAAACATTTTGTATTTAAGGTGAGATATCGGTTTGTTAAAACATTATTGTTTCAAAAACAAAAATCTGTGTTTTAAGCAGTAGCTAATTTATATTCTAGATCCATGTGATCCGGATTATTAACAATGTTATCAGAAGCGCATAAAATTGTCGTTCAAATCGAGCACGTAATTTCCTTGCGGTACGAGGTTTTGGACTATAATCTTGACAAAATTCTAGAAATCTTTTCTGATACATGTAGCTTTTATCGTGGTCGATAAAAAATTTTTTGCCATTAGCTTCAATTTTTGTCTTGTAGGATATACCGAGACGATGAGAATATATTGTCTTTTTAAGCTAATATACCCACCGGTAATATAAAAGGTTGGCGTGTGATTTCTTATTATTTTCATCGAGTTCTAAATAAGATGGTGTCCAATGCTTTCTCTTTTTTTGCTTGAAATTGTCGAAAGCTTTTACCATTTAGTAATTAACGAATTATGAAAATTTTAAATTGAAATCACATGATTTTTTAATTTAGGCCGATCATAAAAAAATTACACAAATTTTAAACGCTTATCTGTTATAACTTTTTATGTAGACATTAAAAAATCTGACCGGTAATTTAATAGTACTTGTCTTGAAGAATAAAGTTATAAATCTTTTAATATTTTTAAAAAAATAGAATTTTAAAAAAATAAATTTGTAAGTACTCCAATTTTATCGTCTAATATAGACTTCCGGCACCATATTTATCATCAAAAAAATAAAAAAAGAAACTGTGAATATAACTTTTTCAAACCACCAGTTCAGATTTGAAGATAGAAGTCATTCGTTTGTTATACATGAGTTCAAAAATTATAAATTTTTTTTTTAAAAAAAAAAGATTTTCAAGAACGAAATTGGAATGAAAAGAATGGACTTAGTAAATGTTTCAATTATTCAAATAAAACTAATAAAATTATTTGGCATTTATTGAAATGCTGAAAAACTGAAATAAGTAAATAAACCATTTGTAGTGAATACAAGGTTCAAGGTAACAAAATTTGTCTTACCACCTAACTGTATGATCAGCAGTGTGATACATCAAAAAATGATTAAGTACAATACGTCATATATCACACAATTTACACATGTCAATCAACAGTATTACAAAAGTGATGTACAGTCATATAACTTCTAAAATTGGGCTTATAATGACTAGTTTTACTCCGATATCCTGTAAAACTTTCTTTCCTTCCTAAATTTTTAAAAATGACTTTATCTTATTTAACAGATGATTGTTTTTATTACATTTTACAATACCTTCAAAATGATGACTCAACNCAACTTTATATAACTGTTTATTAGTTAATCGATTTTGGTGTAAAACAACGATTCCTTTTCTTTATGCAAATCCTTTTGCAGTAAAAATATCCACAAAAAGTCATCTGATAATCTCAACCATAATTTTTTGCTTTAATAAAGCAGAAATTTTACAATTGAAAGAACAACTAGAAGTAAACCAGATTAATAATATTAATATTGATGAAGAACATAAACCTTTATTTGAATATCCAAAATATTTGGAAAATTATAATGAGTTTGAAATAAATTCCGCTATTTTAAGATATTGTTCAAGTTTATCAATTTCTCATAACAAAATGTATGATGAAATTATTCCAATATTTCAACAATCAATTTTACGTCAAAGTAGAAACATTAAAAAATTAGAAATTACATTAGATTTATTCTATAAAAAAAGTTTTAAAAACTTTAATGTTCAAAATTCCAACTTAAATTTAATAAAATTAAATTCATTGATTATTCGTTTAATTGGTACTGCTAATAATGAAATTGGACAAGAATTTTTAAGTAATATAGCTGATGTTAGTTTAAACTTGAGACTATTAATAATTAACCTTAATCAAAGATCAAGAAGATTATTAGTTAATCCAACAACTTCCAATAATTTGATCGATACTACTACTTGGGAAAAGCTTTATAGAATTATTCAAGGGCAAAACAAACTCAAAATATTTATAATATGGAATTGTTTTTTATTAAATAATGTTCTTTCATCCTTAGAATTTCAAAAGCGTTCTTTAGTTCATATTGTATTTAATCACACTAACTTTGTTAATGTTAATTTAAAGAGTTTAAATAATTTATATAATTTAGAATATTTGATATTTGAATATTGTGAAGGTTTATTATTAAATCAATGTGAGATTTTAAATTTTGCTTCATTTAAGCTCAAAGAACTATCATTTAAACGTGATAAATGGAATGATGATATCACACTTTCAATAATCAAATATCTAGGTGAACCATTACAAACAATATCAGTTGAAAATATTACAATTCCACTTATTGAAAATATACCATTGTACTGTCCAAATCTTATTCTTTTAAAAATAGGAATTTTTTCACATGTTGATTTTTCAGAGTTAGCATTTTATAGAAAATTAGCAAATAATGTACCTATTAATATTAGTAAAATTTCTTTTTATGTTAGTTCTCGTATTTCCAATAATTTTCCAAAATTTAAGGAATTTTTAGAAAATTGTCATAATAATTTTGAAATGATTAGTTTAGATCATAATATTGAATTAGAATTTCTTAAAATTGTTTTAAATTATATTGAAAGAAGTAACAATAATTTAAAAACTCTTGGTATGATAATTTTGGATAAAAAATTTAATGAGGAGGAATTAAAATTATTGAATCAAATTAAAGATAAAGGAATTAAATTGGTGGAATTTAATAGTATTCATTATATTCAAGTTGCATGATATTAGTATTTATATTTAGTAAATTAAGGGTTTATATATTTAGCTTTAGGGTTTATTTTATTTATTTACTATTTGTTATTTTTTTATTTTTTTTTATTTTTTTTTTTGTTTATAAAAATTAGGGTGTATAATTTAGAAAAAATATTGAATAAACTAGTATTTTTACAAGTGAATAAATCGTGAAAGTCATTTGATAATACGTTATAATTTGTTAGACTACTTGTATTTTAAAATTCTTTTTTTCTTTATTTCCAAAACTAAAATTATTATATTCTACTAAATTGACTCATTTTCAATTTTTTTCTACTTCTTCGTATATTCTTCCATCAAATGAAGCGTAAGGTCCAGTTGGATATATATATATATGGGTACAAGTCAACTTCATGGTTTTCAGGAATCATTATATTAAATGCTGAAACCAATACCTACCAATAAACAAACCTTACACAATAAAGTATACCAGAAATAATTTACCATAATTCCGCGATTTAAAGACACATTTACCACACAATAACGGGTATAAAAATAAAGAGCTTTGATTTTTTATAAAATCCATAATGAAAAGATTTAGGTTTTCCTGTAACTTGCTAAGCCATTAACAAATTCCTCATCAAAAAAAAAATAAAAAATAAAAAAAATAATTAGTAAAAAAAAGAATAAACAGAAAAAAAAATCCGAATGGGAAATCGCTGTTTGACATAGTACTACAGTACTAAGGATGGCTTTGATTCACAAGTTCTCAATTCTGGAGTATAAAAAAAATATTTTTTAAATTTTTGGTTTATTACGTGAGTAGCAAAATGACCAATAAAAACTCGCGATTTTGAACGAATTAAGTAAAAATCAAATATGAGCATGTATAAAAAAGAAAATCAGCCCAAAAAATGAACCAAATTGACATCTGTTTTGGAAAATTAATCTGATAATTGGCTAAATTCAAATTTGAGATGATTTTTACCATTTACTAATTCGAATTATGAAAATTTTAAATTGAAATCACGTGATTTTTTAATTTAGGCCGATCATATAAAAATTACACAGATTTTAAACGCTTATCTGTTATAACTTTTTATGTAGACATTATTTTAAAAAATCTGACCAGTAATTTAATCATAGTACTTGTCTTGAAGAATAAAGTTACAAATTTATTTTTTAAAATTCTATTTTTTTAAAAAATATCAAAAGATTTATAAGTACTCCAATTTTATCGTCTACTAGTATAGACTTCCGGCACCATATTTATCATCAAGAAATTAAAAAAAAACTGTGAATATAACTTTTTTAAACCACTAGTTCAGATTTGAAGATAGAAGTCATCCGTTTGTTATACATAAGTTAAAAATTACAACTTTTTTTTTTAAAAAAAATAAATGATTTTCAAGAACGAAATTGGAATGAAAAGAATGGACTTAGTAAAATGTTTTATTGAAATGCTGGACAAGTAAACCAACCATTTGTAGTAAATACAAGGTTCAAGGTAACAAAATTTGTCTTACCACCTAACTGTATGATCAGCAGTGTGATACATCAAAAAATGATTAAGTACAATACGTCATATATCACACAATTCACACATGTCAATCAACAGTATTACAAAGTAATTTTCAGTCATTCTGACTTCTAAAATTGGGCTTATAAAGACTTAGTTTTACTCCGATATTCTGTAAAACTTTCTTTCCCTTCCTAAATTTTTAAAATGACTTTATCTTATTTAACAGATGATTGTTTTTATTACATTTTACAATACCTTCAAAATGATAACCCAACTTTATATAACTGTTTATTAGTTAATCGATTTTGGTGTAAAACAACGATTCCTATTCTTTATGCAAATCCTTTTGCAGTAAAAATATCCACAAAAAGTCACCTGATAATCTCAACCATAATTTTTTGCTTTAATAAAGCAGAAATTTTACAATTGAAAGAACAATTAGAAGTAAACCAGATTAATAATATCAATATTGATGAAGAACATAAACCTTTATTTGAATATCCAAAATATTTGGAAAATTATAATGACTTTGGAATAAATTCCACTATTAGAAGATATTGTTCAGGTTTATCAATTTCTCATAGCAAAATGTATAATGAAATTATTCCAATATTTCATAAATCAATTTTACGTCAAAGTAGAAACATTAAAAAATTAGATATTTCATTAGATTTATTCTATGGAAAAAGTTTTAAAAACTTTAATGTTCAAAATTCCAACTTAAATTTAATAAAATTAAATTCATTAAGTATTCGTTTAAATGGTACTACTAATAATGAAGTTGGACAAGAATTTTTAAGAAATATAGCTGATGTTAGTTTAAACTTGAGACAATTAATAATTAACCTTAATCAAAGATCAAGAAGATTATTAATTAATCCAACAACTTCCAATAATTTGATCGATAAAACTACTTGGAAAAAGCTTTATAAAATTATTCAAGGGCAAAACAAACTCAAAATATTTAAGTTATGGAATTGTTCTTCTTCATTAAATAATATTCTTTCATCCTTAGAATTTCAAAAGCATTCTTTAGTTCATATTGAGTTTAATAACACTAACTTTGTTAATGTCAGTTTAAAGAGTTTCAATAATTTATATAATTTAGAATGTTTGATATTTGAATATTGTGAAGGTTTATTATTAAATCAATGTGAGATTTTAAATTTTGCTTCATTTAAGCTCAAGGAAATATCATTTATACGTGATAAATGGAATATTGATATCACACCTTCAATAATCAAATATCTAGGTGAACCATTACAAAGATTATCAGTTGAAAATCTTACAATTCCACTTATTGAAAATATATCATTGTATTGTCCAAATCTTATTCTTTTAAAAATAGGAATTTATTCACATATTGATTTTTCAGGGTTAGCATTTTTTAAAGATTTAAGAGCAAAAATGTTAAATATTACTATTTTTTATGATATTGATAAATTTTTTAGAAAATTAGCAAATAATGTACCTATTAATGTTAGTAAAATTTCTTTTTATGTTGGTTCTTGTATTTCCAATAAGTTTTCAAAATTTAAGGAATTTTTAGAAAATTGTCATAATAATTTTGAAATGATTAATTTAAATCATATTATTGAATTAGAATTTCTTAAAATTGTTTTAAATTATATTGAAAGAAGTAACAATAATTTAAAAACTCTTGGTATGGTGAATTTGGATAAAGAATTGAATGATGAGGAATTAAAATTATTGAATCAAATTAAAGATAAAGGAGTTAAAATAGTGGAATTTAATATTATTCATTATATTTATAAAGGTGTATGATATTAAGTATTTATATTTAGTAAATTAAGGGTTATATTTAGTTTTAGGGTTTATTTATTTTGTTATTTTTTATTTTTTTATTTTTATTTTATTTTTTTTGTTTATAAAAATTAGGATATCTGATTTAGAAAAAATATTGAATGACTAATTTTACAAGTGAAATCGTGAAAGTCATTTGATAATACGTTATAATTTGTTAGACTACTTGTATTTTAAAATTCTTTTTTTCTCTATTTCCAAAACTAAAATTATTATATTGACTCATTTTCATTTTTTTTCTACTTCTTCGTAGTATATTCTTCCAACAAATGAAACGTAAGGTCCAGTTGGATATATATATATATATATGAGTACAAGGGTTTCAGGAATCATTATATTAATGCTGAAACCAATACCTACCAATATACAACCTTACACAATAAAAAAAGTACACCAGAAATAATGTATCATAATTCCGCGATTTAAAGACACATTTACCACACAATAACGCGTAATCGCCCACCTTTATATCATATAAAAATAAAGAGTTTCATTTTTTTATAAATCCATAACGAAAAGATTTAGGTTTTCCTGGTTGAATCATATAACTTGCTAACCATTAACAAATTCCTCATAAAAAAATAAAATAAAATAAATAATTAGTAAAAAAAGAATAAACAGAAAAAAAAATCTGGATGGGAAATCGCTGTTTGCCATAGTATTACAGCAGTAAGGGTGGCTTTTGATTCGAAAGTTCTTAATTCTGGAGTATAAAAGAAATTTTTTTTTAAAAATTTTTGGTTTATTACGTGAGTAGCAAAATGACCAATAAAAACTCGCGATTTTGAACGAATTAAGTAAAAATCAAATATGAGCATGTATAAAAAGAAAATCAGCCAAAAAATGAACCAAATTGACATCTGTTTTGGAAAATTAATCTGATAATTGGCTAAATTCAAATTTGAGATGATTTTTACCATTTACTAATTCGAATTATGAAAATTTTAAATTGAAATCACGTGATTTTTTAATTTAGGCCGATCATATAAAAATTACACAGATTTTAAACGCTTATCTGTTATAACTTTTTATGTAGACATTATTTTAAAAAATCTGACCAGTAATTTAATCATAGTACTTGTCTTGAAGAATAAAGTTACAAATTTATTTTTTAAAATTCTATTTTTTAAAAAAATATTAAAAGATTTATAAGTACTCCAATTTTATCGTCTAGTATAGACTTCCGGCACCATATTTATCATCAAGAAATTAAAAAAAAACTGTGAATATAACTTTTTTAAACCACCAGTTCAGATTTGAAGATAGAAGTCATCCGTTTGTTATACATAAGTTCAAAAATTACAACTTTTTTTTTAAAAAAAAATAAATGATTTTCAAGAACGAAATTGGAATGAAAAGAATGGACTTAGTAAAATGTTTTATTAAATGCTGGATAAGTAAACCAACCATTTGTAGTAAATACAAGGTTCAAGGTAACAAAATTTGTCTTACCACCTAACTGTATGATCAGCAGTGTAATACATCAAAAAATAATTAAGTACAATACGTCATATATCACACAATTCACACATGTCAATCAACAGTATTACAAAGTAATGTACAGTCATTCTGACTTCTAAAATTGGGCTTATAAAGACTTAAGTTTTTACTCCGATATTCTGTAAAACTTTCTTTCCCTTCCTAAATTTTTAAAATGACTTTATCTTATTTAACAGATGATTGTTTTTATTACATTTTACAATACCTTCAAAATGATAACCCAACTTTATATAACTGCTTATTAGTTAATCGATTTTGGTGTAAAACAACGATTCCTATTCTTTATGCAAATCCTTTTGCAGTAAAAATATCCACAAAAAGTCACCTGATGATCTCAACCATAATTTTTTGCTTTAATAAAGCAGAAATTTTACAATTGAAAGAACAATTAGAAGTAAACCAGATTAATAATATCAATATTGATGAAGAACATAAACCTTTATTTGAATATCCAAAATATTTGGAAAATTATAATGACTTTGGAATAAATTCCACTATTAGAAGATATTGTTCAGGTTTATCAATTTCTCATAGCAAAATGTATAATGAAATTATTCCAATATTTCATAAATCAATTTTACGTCAAAGTAGAAACATTAAAAAATTAGATATTTCATTAGATTTATTCTATGGAAAAAGTTTTAAAAACTTTAATGTTCAAAATTCCAACTTAAATTTAATAAAATTAAATTCATTAAGTATTCGTTTAAATGGTACTACTAATAATGAAGTTGGACAAGAATTTTTAAGAAATATAGCTGATGTTAGTTTAAACTTGAGACAATTAATAATTAACCTTAATCAAAGATCAAGAAGATTATTAATTAATCCAACAACTTCCAATAATTTGATCGATAAAACTACTTGGAAAAAGCTTTATAAAATTATTCAAGGGCAAAACAAACTCAAAATATTTAAGTTATGGAATTGTTCTTCTTCATTAAATAATATTCTTTCATCCTTAGAATTTCAAAAGCATTCTTTAGTTCATATTGAGTTTAATAACACTAACTTTGTTAATGTCAGTTTAAAGAGTTTCAATAATTTATATAATTTAGAATGTTTGATATTTGAATATTGTGAAGGTTTATTATTAAATCAATGTGAGATTTTAAATTTTGCTTCATTTAAGCTCAAGGAAATATCATTTATACGTGATAAATGGAATATTGATATCACACCTTCAATAATCAAATATCTAGGTGAACCATTACAAAGATTATCAGTTGAAAATCTTACAATTCCACTTATTGAAAATATATCATTGTATTGTCCAAATCTTATTCTTTTAAAAATAGGAATTTATTCACATATTGATTTTTCAGGGTTAGCATTTTTTAAAGATTTAAGAGCAAAAATGTTAAATATTACTATTTTTTATGATATTGATAAATTTTTTAGAAAATTAGCAAATAATGTACCTATTAATGTTAGTAAAATTTCTTTTTATGTTGGTTCTTGTATTTCCAATAAGTTTTCAAAATTTAAGGAATTTTTAGAAAATTGTCATAATAATTTTGAAATGATTAATTTAAATCATATTATTGAATTAGAATTTCTTAAAATTGTTTTAAATTATATTGAAAGAAGTAACAATAATTTAAAAACTCTTGGTATGGTGAATTTGGATAAAGAATTGAATGATGAGGAATTAAAATTATTGAATCAAATTAAAGATAAAGGAGTTAAAATAGTGGAATTTAATATTATTCATTATATTTATAAAGGTGTATGATATTAAGTATTTATATTTAGTAAATTAAGGGTTATATTTAGTTTTAGGGTTTATTTATTTTGTTATTTTTTATTTTTTTATTTTTATTTTATTTTTTTTGTTTATAAAAATTAGGATATCTGATTTAGAAAAAATATTGAATGACTAATTTTACAAGTGAAATCGTGAAAGTCATTTGATAATGCGTTATAATTTGTTAGACTACTTGTATTTTAAAATTCTTTTTTTCTCTATTTCCAAAACTAAAATTATTATATTGACTCATTTTCATTTTTTTTCTACTTCTTCGTAGTATATTCTTCCAACAAATGAAACGTAAGGTCCAGTTGGATATATATATATATATATGAGTACAAGGTTTTCAGGAATCATTATATTAATGCTGAAACCAATACCTACCAATATACAACCTTACACAATAAAAAAAGTACACCAGAAATAATGTATCATAATTCCGCGATTTAAAGACACATTTACCACACAATAACGCGTAATCGCCCACCTTTATATCATATAAAAATAAAGAGTTTCATTTTTTTATAAATCCATAACGAAAAGATTTAGGTTTTCCTGGTTGAATCATATAACTTGCTAACCATTAACAAATTCCTCATAAAAAAATAAAATAAAATAAATAATTAGTAAAAAAAGAATAAACAGAAAAAAAAATCTGGATGGGAAATCGCTGTTTGCCATAGTATTACAGCAGTAAGGGTGGCTTTTGATTCGAAAGTTCTTAATTCTGGAGTATAAAAGAAATTTTTTTTTAAAAATTTTTGGTTTATTACGTGAGTAGCAAAATGACCAATAAAAACTCGCGATTTTGAACGAATTAAGTAAAAATCAAATATGAGCATGTATAAAAAGAAAATCAGCCAAAAAATGAACCAAATTGACATCTGTTTTGGAAAATTAATCTGATAATTGGCTAAATTTAAATTTGAGATGATTTTTACCATTTACTAATTCGAATTATGAAAATTTTAAATTGAAATCACGTGATTTTTTTAATTTAGGCCGATCATATAAAAATTACACAAATTTTAAACGCTTATCTGTTATAACTTTTTATGTAGACATTATTTTAAAAAATCTGACCAGTAATTTAATCATAGTACTTGTCTTGAAGAATAAAGTTACAAATTTATTTTTTAAAATTCTATTTTTTTAAAAAATATCAAAAGATTTATAAGTACTCCAATTTTATCGTCTACTAGTATAGACTTCCGGCACCATATTTATCATCAAGAAATTAAAAAAAAACTGTGAATATAACTTTTTTAAACCACTAGTTCAGATTTGAAGATAGAAGTCATCCGTTTGTTATACATAAGTTAAAAATTACAACTTTTTTTTTTAAAAAAAATAAATGATTTTCAAGAACGAAATTGGAATGAAAAGAATGGACTTAGTAAAATGTTTTATTGAAATGCTGGACAAGTAAACCAACCATTTGTAGTAAATACAAGGTTCAAGGTAACAAAATTTGTCTTACCACCTAACTGTATGATCAGCAGTGTGATACATCAAAAAATGATTAAGTACAATACGTCATATATCACACAATTCACACATGTCAATCAACAGTATTACAAAGTAATTTTCAGTCATTCTGACTTCTAAAATTGGGCTTATAAAGACTTAGTTTTACTCCGATATTCTGTAAAACTTTCTTTCCCTTCCTAAATTTTTAAAATGACTTTATCTTATTTAACAGATGATTGTTTTTATTACATTTTACAATACCTTCAAAATGATAACCCAACTTTATATAACTGTTTATTAGTTAATCGATTTTGGTGTAAAACAACGATTCCTATTCTTTATGCAAATCCTTTTGCAGTAAAAATATCCACAAAAAGTCACCTGATAATCTCAACCATAATTTTTTGCTTTAATAAAGCAGAAATTTTACAATTGAAAGAACAATTAGAAGTAAACCAGATTAATAATATCAATATTGATGAAGAACATAAACCTTTATTTGAATATCCAAAATATTTGGAAAATTATAATGATTTTGAAATAGATTCCGCTATTTTAAGATATTGTTCAGGTTTATCAATTTCTTATAACAAAATGTGTAGTGATATTATTCCAATATTTCATCAATCAATTTTACGTCAAAGTAGAAACATTAAAAAATTAGATATTTCATTAGATTTATTCTATGAAAAAAGTTTTAAAAACTTTAATGTTCAAAATTCCAACTTAAATTTAATAAAATTAAATTCATTAAGTATTTGTTTAAATGGTACTACTAATAATGAAGTTGGACAAGAATTTTTAAGAAATATAGCTGATGTTAGTTTAAATTTGAGACAATTAATAATTAACTTTAATCAAGGATCAAGAAGATTATTAATTAATCCAACAACTTCCAATAATTTGATCGATACTACTACTTGGAAAAAGCTTTATAAAATTATTCAAAGGCAAAACAAACTCAAAATATTTATAATATGGAATTGTTTTTTATTAAATAATATTCTTTCATCCTTGGAATTTCAAAAGCATTCTTTAGTTCATATTGAATTTCATAACGCTAACTTTGTTAATGTTAATTTAAAGAGTTTAAATAATTTAAATAATTTAGAATGTTTGATATTTGAATCTTGTGGAGGTTTATTATTAAATCAATGTGAGATTTTAAATTTTGCTTCATTTAAGCTCAAGGAACTATCACTTAAACATAATAAATGGGATGGTGATGCCACACTTTCAATAATCAAATATCTAGGTGAACCATTACAAAAAATATCAGTTGAAAATATTACAATTCCACTTATTGAAAATATATCATTGTATTGTCCAAATCTTATTCTTTTAAAAATAGGAATTTTTCCAAATAATGAATTATATGAGTTAGAATTTTATAGAAAATTAGCAAATAATGTACCTATTAATGTTAGTAAAATTTCTTGTTTTATTCTCAAAAAGTTTCTAAATTTTAAGGAATTTTTAGAAAATTGTCATAATAATTTTGAAATGATTAACTTAAATTATAATATTGAATTAGAATTTCTTAAAATTGTTTTAGATTATATTGAAAGAAGTAACAATAATTTAAAAACTCTGGGTGGGATAATTTTGGATGAAAATTTTAATGAGGAGGAATTAAAATTATTGAATCAAATTAAAGATAAAGGAATTAAATTGGTGGAATTTAATAGTATACATTATATTTAAGTTGCATGATATTAGTATTTTTATATTTAGTAAATTAAGGGTTTATATTTAGGGTTTATTTTATTTTTTTACTATTTGTTATTTTTTATTTTTTTTATTTTTTTTTGTTTATAAAAATTAGGGTATCTAATTTAGAAAAAATATTGAATGAATTATTTTTACAAGTGAAATCGTGAAAGTTCATTTGATAATACGTTATAATTTGTTAGACTACTTGTGTTTTAAAATTCTTTTTTCTTTTATTTCCAAAATTAAAATTATTATATTCTACTAAATTCTTTGCTGAAACCTATCGATTTTGAAAAATATGGTAGAAACATTTTTAAAATATGATCACCATATTGCATACGTATTTCTGTTAACTCTGTTGTAACTCGATAACAGCAATATGTTAAGCATATGTCAAAAATATAAAATAAAATATGTTTAGAATATGTTAAACATCAATCAAAAATATGATGAAAATATGTAATAGGAATATTTTTATTATATATCAAAAATATGTTGGAAATATGTAATAGGGATGTTTTCATTATATATTAAAAATATGTTGGAAATATAATAAATCAATTTATTAAAATAATAAAAAATTTATTTACATATATACAATATATGGCACGAATGTTTCTCTCATCTATTAAAAAATTTAATATTATTATCCATGATATCAATACCACATTATAATAAAATATAACATCGATTTCCTTCATTATGCTCAGTACTATGTATTCCTACAATTGTGTATAAAGAATAAACGTGAAATGTGATCAACAAATGTAATTGGAAAATTTTGAAACCGCCGTAGTAATTCTTTAGGCTTCTGTAAAATAAAATAAAATAAAATGTTAGTATCATTTCATTAATAAAAAATGCTAAATAAATTAAGTTTCTAAAATCAAAACTTACCATCCAATCCACCCAAGAACCAGAAATCCATTTCCTATAAAAAGAGAGGAAAAGTAAATATTAATATTCCTTTAAAAAATTTAATTTCGAAATAATTTAACTTTAAAATTTCGAAACTCACCATCCGATCCATTTGTGAAATCCATCCTATACTAAAAAAGAAAAAAATGTTAATCAATTTTTTATCATTTCGAAATTTTTTTCCCAAAAGCTTACCTTCAACCTACTAGTTATCATACTAAGAATTCTGATAATTAAGTCAAAGGAAAACAACAAAATAAAAGATGTTACTGTAATCAAACATCTTTTCATAAGGGTTCTGAAGACTGGAGTCCTACAAAAGAAATAAAAAAGGTTAATAAAAACTTTTTTAATTAATTTTCCAAAATTTTTTTTTCGATACTCACTTGAAAATCCGGCGTCCACGTCGCTGATTTTCCTACAAAAAAAAAAGACAAAAAAAGGAAAAAAATGNAGATAATATAGTTGAGGAGATACAGTTTTATGTTCAAGAATGTCATTTAGGTGCTACTGTTTTAAAAAGGATATTACGAAAAAAATATCCAGACCATGATATTTACAATCAAGATCTTTATAACATGATATGCAGATTTAAAGCCAATATTCAGATTAAGAATGATGCTGCAGCATTAGTTGAATATTTAGTTAAGTTACATGCAGAAAATCCTGAATGGTATTTTAAAGTTGATTTTGAGAGTATTGATAATAGACTATCCAAAATTTTTTGGATGTCACCAGAGCAAAAGAAAATGTGGTATAGGTATCATGATGTTGTTATAAATGATAACACATGTAAAACAAACAAATATTCAATGCCTTTGAGTGTGTTTATTATAATTGATTCTGATCAACGAAGTAGAATTGTAGCTACAGCAATAGTTTGTGATGAAACTGTATCAACATATGAATGGATTTTAGAACAAACAAAAAATGCAACTGGCGATCTTCAACCAGCAACAATTTTTACAGATGCAGATCCCGCGATGCAAAATGCAATACACAAACAATATCCTAAATCATTCATTAGACATTGTTCCTTTCATATTCGACAAAATCTTATTAAAAAAGTTAAGAAAAAACTTTGTAACAAATGGGATACTTTTCTTGGTGATTTTTATGCTTTGCGTAATTCCATTGTTATGTCAGATTTTGAACATCGTTGGACAGATCTAATAAATCACTATCCAGAAGTACAGGAATATTGTGAACGTGTATCATATCCAACTAAAACATGTTGGGCATATGCATTTACTAAACGCAGTTTTTCAGCAAATACACATTCAACACAACGTGTAGAAAGTATGAATTGAGTTATAAAATTAGAAGCTAATTCAGGAAATTCATTGTGCCAGCTTCATTCAGGAATTGAACTACGCTTAAAAGATGAAGCTAAATATGCAAGATGGCAAGAATTTCGTAATATGAATCCTACTACAGGAATGCCTAGAGTTTCTGATACTATTTTTAGAAATGTTGATGAAATATGTAAAAAATACTTAACACCAAATTCATTAGCTTTACAACGTAAACAAATGGTTGAAAGCCTTTTGTATAGAACTTGGATAAAGGAAGTTGAAAATATTTATCTATTGGTAAGGATATGTATTATATATGATTTTATGGTTTGGTTTGTTATTAATATAACAATAAATATCAATTAAGGATTCAAATCGGTATGACGAAGGATTTGTGGAAGATGATTATGAAGAACCCCAAATTTTAATTAATATGGCTTTAGAGGCTTGTTCAAATGGTATAGTAAATGAAATTTGGGAAGTTAGGCATCTTCAAAGCACAAAAAACCGATCACAATTTGTCATAATACTTGACGATGGTAGTCATTACTGCACATGTCTTTATTTAATTTATGCTGGATTCGTTTGTAGGTATTTTTTTGCCGTAATGTTACAATCAAAAATTGCACAGTTTAACATTAAACTTATACCTTCCCGATGGTATTCCAAAGAAGGGCTTTCAGTAATGGATAAGATACAAGAAAATTCAATTCAGCTGATACAAGATGGAGAGCAGAGAACTGGTACTTTTTATACATTAAATATTATTCGTGGACAAGAAGTATATAATGAATTTATAAAAAATTTGGATTCAAAAAAAGAAATATTTGGTCGTGGAATTGGACTTTGTAAGAAGGCTTTAAATCTAGCAATTGCAAGTAATTCTCACCAAGTTTTTGAAAATCTTTTACAACAGTTTATTGAGCAACAAACAGTATCACTTTCAGCACAAGATGATGATTTAACTGAAGAAGTTTTAGGTATTTCAAATCCAATTCAACACAAAGGCAAAGGCCGACCTGCAAATAAGAGATATTTGTCGGCTATTGAAAATCGTTCTAATAGAAATGCAAATTCAAAAAATCAAGATCAGGACGAAGTTTCGGAAGGATCAAGAAAGAAAAACAAGCGGCAATGTGCTCTATGTAAGTCATGGTATCATGACTCGCGAAATTGCCCTTCAAAAAATAAAGAACAAGATAAAGAAAATATTTAGATAGTTTTATTTGTTATTTAATCAGCATATGCGTTATATTTTAATTTAATAAAAAGATGTGTATAAGAGACAGATTCCATATAAATCCCGTGCAAATTCCGTATCCAAACCATATTTTTAGTGATACGGAATTGTGCATTTTTCCGTATCCTATTATGATACGTTATTTCTAAGGAAAAAAAATCGTATAAAAACTTTATAAAAAACGTATCCAATTTTTTTATAGGGGTAATATCTTATTTAAGTACATCACGAAGCTTTTCAAGGTCATTAATTCTGTTGGCAGTATTTAAAAATCCTCCATAATTATCTTCCCAAATACTATAATATTTTTTATATCATTTATCCATTCATTTGGATGAACATTTCCATCATATTTGGAAAATAATTCATGGTAAGTGAAATATTATTTCTTCAAGAAAGAAACTATATTCCGCTTAAAGAATTTTTTGGCCATTTATGTACAGTAAATTGATCAATTGATCATGTATCCTTTTGAATTAGTGCGATCAGATGATTTGTTGATCAATAATAAAAAAAAATGATTATTTCTATAGTGATTTACTATAGCAAAAACGTATAAGTGATTATTCAACTTGGCGAAACAAATCAATAGTAGTTATTTCAATTTCAAATGAAATAACATTAATGAAGTTATTCAATTTTTCAATCATCTTTAAACATCTGGCCCAACTGGGCTACCCAATCTGAATATCTGATACAATCTGGATATATATAATAACTTAATTCCAACTCTTTTAACAATACTAATTCATTATTAAAATAAATTCTAGTATTATTCATTTTTATAATACTATTATTAACAGGACATGGATTTATGGACTTATTAGTAATCTTAAATTAATAATAAATTTGAATGTTACAAAAGCTTAACATTAAGTACCATTAATTGTACGTTATTGTACGGGCGTGCTTAATAATAGTATGATGTGGCGCAAATAACAATATTATTATCCGGACCAGAATGACCATAGCCTTATACAGTCAAACCTTGATATAGCAAACCCTTGATATAGTGAATTTTTCAGACAACTATAATAAATTTCCCCTCGCTATAACAAATTAACCAATCAAATCTCTTAAATTCTTCGCTATAACCTTATAGCGAAGTTGAAGTCTGGAGTCTGGACCCTAGGGTTCGTTATAACAAGGGTTGACTGTATTAAATAATATTAGATTTAAATTTTACAATACATTATAAATTTACCGGTGGATATACGTATCCACCCATCATATAACACGTGACTTTAAATAAATTGATTATCATCATATTACACGAATCTTGAATCTTGTGTATCTGATGTCATGATTTAAATAAATTAAACTATTTTTTACTATTTTTTTACTATTTTTTTACAAATTTCATTCTCACGCTCTTTATCTCTCTTTTTTTCATTCGTTTAACCCTTTTTCTTTCTTTTTTTTCGTTCATTTGACATTTTCTTAACTGTTTAATTTTCAAATACTCCTTTTACCCATTAATTACAACACTTGTCATATGTTAGACCTAGAATGTTTAAAGTTAAGTAAACATAATTTCGTATATGAATTAGGGTTGGGTTAGATTAGGGTTAGGGTTAGTTAGGGTTAGGATTAGGGTTAGTTAGGGTTAGGGTTAGGATTAGGGTTAGGATTAGGGTTAGGATTAGGGTTAGTTAGGTTAGGGTAAGGGTTAGGGTAAGGGCATAGGTTAGAAAATGGTTTAGGAAAAAGAGAGTATCGGGGCTTAGCTTCTAGTTTTAATTTTTTTTATTTAAATAGATACTAATACTTTAACTTGTTTATTTAGATGGATAACTATCATGATGATAATGTTTATGTCTATGAGAATGAAGCTGAAAATCGTATGCCATCTCCTGATAACAATGTGGAAAATGATTTTTATGAAGATGAACCTGAAGATAGTCCACTCAAGGAAATTTATAGTGGACAGACATTTACATCATTTGAAATTCTTGAACAAAGTCTAAAACGATATGCTTCTCAAAAAGGCTTTGAAATAAGAGTAGTAAGATCAGAAAAAGAGGACAATGTCTGGACGCGAAAAACATATAAATGTCACCATGGTGGCAAATATATTCCTAAAAAAAAAGTAGATCCAACACAAACACGAGATCGGGAATCCATTCGTATTGAATGTGGATTTTTGGTAAATGCTTCATATCGCAAGTGTCAGAATTTAGTATTTGTAAATAAATTTGTTAGTGAGCATAACCATGAATTACAAAATGGTATTGATCTTCAAGAATTCTCACCATTATTACGTAAGATACCAGATAATATAGTTGAGGAGATACAGTTTTATGTTCAAGAATGTCATTTAGGTGCTACTGTTTTAAAAAGGATATTACGAAAAAAATATCCAGACCATGATATTTACAATCAAGATCTTTATAACATGATATGCAGATTTAAAGCCAATATTCAGATTAAGAATGATGCTGCAGCATTAGTTGAATATTTAGTTAAGTTACATGCAGAAAATCCTGAATGGTATTTTAAAGTTGATTTTGAGAGTATTGATAATAGACTATCCAAAATTTTTTGGATGTCACCAGAGCAAAAGAAAATGTGGTATAGGTATCATGATGTTGTTATAAATGATAACACATGTAAAACAAACAAATATTCAATGCCTTTGAGTGTGTTTATTATAATTGATTCTGATCAACGAAGTAGAATTGTAGCTACAGCAATAGTTTGTGATGAAACTGTATCAACATATGAATGGATTTTAGAACAAACAAAAAATGCAACTGGCGATCTTCAACCAGCAACAATTTTTACAGATGCAGATCCCGCGATGCAAAATGCAATACACAAACAATATCCTAAATCATTCATTAGACATTGTTCCTTTCATATTCGACAAAATCTTATTAAAAAAGTTAAGAAAAAACTTTGTAACAAATGGGATACTTTTCTTGGTGATTTTTATGCTTTGCGTAATTCCATTGTTATGTCAGATTTTGAACATCGTTGGACAGATCTAATAAATCACTATCCAGAAGTACAGGAATATTGTGAACGTGTATCATATCCAACTAAAACATGTTGGGCATATGCATTTACTAAACGCAGTTTTTCAGCAAATACACATTCAACACAACGTGTAGAAAGTATGAATTGAGTTATAAAATTAGAAGCTAATTCAGGAAATTCATTGTGCCAGCTTCATTCAGGAATTGAACTACGCTTAAAAGATGAAGCTAAATATGCAAGATGGCAAGAATTTCGTAATATGAATCCTACTACAGGAATGCCTAGAGTTTCTGATACTATTTTTAGAAATGTTGATGAAATATGTAAAAAATACTTAACACCAAATTCATTAGCTTTACAACGTAAACAAATGGTTGAAAGCCTTTTGTATAGAACTTGGATAAAGGAAGTTGAAAATATTTATCTATTGGTAAGGATATGTATTATATATGATTTTATGGTTTGGTTTGTTATTAATATAACAATAAATATCAATTAAGGATTCAAATCGGTATGACGAAGGATTTGTGGAAGATGATTATGAAGAACCCCAAATTTTAATTAATATGGCTTTAGAGGCTTGTTCAAATGGTATAGTAAATGAAATTTGGGAAGTTAGGCATCTTCAAAGCACAAAAAACCGATCACAATTTGTCATAATACTTGACGATGGTAGTCATTACTGCACATGTCTTTATTTAATTTATGCTGGATTCGTTTGTAGGTATTTTTTTGCCGTAATGTTACAATCAAAAATTGCACAGTTTAACATTAAACTTATACCTTCCCGATGGTATTCCAAAGAAGGGCTTTCAGTAATGGATAAGATACAAGAAAATTCAATTCAGCTGATACAAGATGGAGAGCAGAGAACTGGTACTTTTTATACATTAAATATTATTCGTGGACAAGAAGTATATAATGAATTTATAAAAAATTTGGATTCAAAAAAAGAAATATTTGGTCGTGGAATTGGACTTTGTAAGAAGGCTTTAAATCTAGCAATTGCAAGTAATTCTCACCAAGTTTTTGAAAATCTTTTACAACAGTTTATTGAGCAACAAACAGTATCACTTTCAGCACAAGATGATGATTTAACTGAAGAAGTTTTAGGTATTTCAAATCCAATTCAACACAAAGGCAAAGGCCGACCTGCAAATAAGAGATATTTGTCGGCTATTGAAAATTGTTCTAATAGAAATGCAAATTCAAAAAATCAAGATCAGGACGAAGTTTCGGAAGGATCAAGAAAGAAAAACAAGCGGCAATGTGCTCTATGTAAGTCATGGTATCATGACTCGCGAAATTGCCCTTCAAAAAATAAAGAACAAGATAAAGAAAATATTTAGATAGTTTTATTTGTTATTTAATCAGCATATGCGTTTAATTTAATAAAATAAAGTTGTTTACGGTAAATCGAAATCACATGAATAAATCACGTGAATATATAGGGAGGATATGTATATCCTCCCGTATTAAGTAAAAATTTTCTTAAATTTAAATGCATAGTATATAACAATAAATTAACAATAACGAGTGTCTTATTATATTATTCTAATGCATTTTAATATTTTAATAAATTAGTGTTATGATAAATGGCAAAGCTAATCAAAATTTTACTTTTTAACATTAGGTAAATTTGTGGATCAATAAAAAATCATTGCTATATCATCAAGTTGAATAAAAGAATAAACTATTACATTTTTTTTTTAAAAAAAAATCGTATTATTTAAAATTAAAAAAAAAATTTTAAAAATTATTCGAGACGAAAAATAATGCACCTAGCGATCGACCCTATAGTCACATAATAGTCACATGCTAGAAGCATTAGCTTATTCATATATCAACAACATATTCAAAATATATTATTCATATATCAACAACATATTCAAAATATATTATTCATATTTCAACAACATATTCAAAATATATTATTCATATTTCAACAACAGTATTCAAAATATATTATTCATATTTCAACAACAGTATTCAAACATATATCAACAGCAAATTTGAAATATATTAACAACGTATTCAAAATGTTCACTATATCATTAGTTTAAGTACATGTTTCGAAAATATTGTAAAATTATTTTATTCATATTACAAAAATATTTACTACATTATATTAGTTTAAGTTTAAATTTCAACATATATTAAAAATATTATAACATTATTTTATTAATATTATAAACATATTGCGTATATTAAAATATGTAGAATATATATATACCATCTGTTGATAACATGTAGTGATTATGTCTAACATATTTTGTGAAAACCAGAGGTTTCTGCAAAGTTGACTCGTTTTCATTTTTTTTTCTACTTCTTCCAACAAATGAAGCGTAAGGTCCAGTTAGATATATATATACTATATATGGGTACCAGTCAACTTCATGGTTTTCAGGAATAATTATATTAAATGCTGACAATAAAAAAAGTATACCAGAAATAATTTATCATAATTCCGCGATTTAAAGACACATTTATTTATCAAACAATAACGCGTAATCGCCCATCTTTATATCATATAAAAATAAAGAGTTTTGTTTTTTTATAAAATCCATAATGAAAAGTTTTTTGGGTTTTCCTGGTTGAATCATATAACTTGCTAAGCCATTAACAAATTCCTCATCAAAAAAAAAAAAATAAAAATAAAAAAATAATTAGTAAAAAAAAAGAATAAGCAGAAAAAAACCCCCGAATGGGAAATCGCTGTTTGTCATAGACCATACTACAACAGTAAGGGTGGCTTTTTATTCGCAAGTTCTCAATTCTAGAGTATAAAAAAAAAATTTTTTTTTTTTTTTANAAAAAAAAAAATAAACAGGAAAAAAAAAATTGAGCAGGAAAATCGGCGCATTAACGTAATACCGCAGCGGCAAGATCTGCAAGTTCTTGATCTTAAAGGACAAAAAAGAAAATTTTTTTCAGAAAATAAAATATTAGTAATCAAATAGCAAAGAATATTATTTTGTTGTGAAATGAAAAAAAATTGAATCAGCACTGAAAAAATTTTTTTTTCGAATATTATAAAAAAATAAATGGAAAAAAAAAAATTAAACAGAAGAATCGGTGCACTGCAGTCATTCGATTCGCAAGTTCTCAATTTTAGAGGATAAAAAAAAAAATATTAGCAATCAAATAGAAAAAAAATCTTAAAAAAAGAATCGGTACCACAGCAGCAAGAGTGTCATCTGATCTGCAAGTTCTCAATTTCAAAGGACGAAAAAAAAAATAGCTTTTTTTCAGAAAAGAAAAAATCAAGAAAAACATTCCGGAATGAAGCAAATTAGTGCTTACATTTCTATCTTGTTGAACCTGAACTGATCTTGAAAAGATGAAATAAATAAATAAATAAATATAATTGGTTGGCTTAATCAAAAAAGAAAAATTTCGAATATTTCTTTTTTAAAAGAAAACAGAATCACCAGAAATTAAAAGGTGTTTCAAGGAAATAATATATACGCACTTTTAACCACTTTTAACCAAAGCAACCTTAACAACACCAAATCTGGTATAGATTAATAATATCCCATAATTTTTTAAAATCAGAAACACTATAAAGCCAACTATTATACGAGGGGTGGTGGCTGTAGGCAAAATATTAGGCAATGAGCTGGCTGGCTGAATATACAGAACGAACGTAATGTTAACGTTAACATTAACGTTAACCTTCCATTTGCGAATTGACCCTTTCCATAAAAGTACACGACCAACTAATTTTATAATGGTGTAAAAAAAAAAATTAGGTGATACAAGCCGAAAACGAAATTACAGTTACAATTTTATTATACGAGACAAAATTATTTTAAAAGATTCCCTTGAAGTTCTTTCACCAATTGTCTTTTCTCTAAAGAAAACATTTAAAATAATGATTTTACCTTGACCCTTTATTTATTTACAAAATTTTATTTCTAAAATATTTGAAGATAGAATAAAAATTTTTGCGCTAAAGTAGAATGTCACGACCGACTGCTAAATATACACGAACATTACAATTAAATATTTGAAATAATTTATTAAAATTTTCTATATATCAAATAATAAATTAATTACAGGAGTCTTCAAAAAATTATAATATACTAGACTATTACAATTTATCTATTTATCTGATAAAATTACTAAATAAGTTTCCTTTAAAAAAAAGTTAAGAAACGTGAAATCAAAGAATTTAAAAGTTTGAAAAAATGAAATTATGAAAGTATTCTATATTTAAAAATCCAGAATAAAAGCAAATTTATTAATTAAATGGAACCGATTATATATCAATTTGATAGATTAACTACTAGTAGTTCAAATTTGCTGATAGTGAATTTCATCTATATTATAACTATGTTTAAAATCCTTGATTATTCCATCACCTTTATATTTATTGATCAGTTTTTCATAATTTTCCTCTTCATAAATAGAATCAGATGTATGTATAGAAATTGCAGGTCTACCTTTCCATTTTTCTAAAAAATCCTCCAAGTTTTCTAAAGAAAATTCAAAATCATCATAAAATCTAATTTCTTTTAAATTAGTCGGTGCCGATTTAATTAATATTTCCAATAAAATTTTCCCATTTTCCAAAAATTTTTCATTAGTTTTATTTGTAGTCACAATATTATTTATAATTATTAATAGTGATTTTAAATTTTGACAATTCTTTAGTAATTTTTCAAATTCAGTGAAATGTTCTTTTGATGGTGAAAATGCAACTGACAAATATTCAATCGAAGGACAATTTTCATAAATTTTACGAATAAAATTGAGAGAACTTTCATCAAAGCTATTATAATATTCACGATTAGTAATATCATAAGATTTAAATAAAATTTTCTTAAGACGTCTTCCACTATTTTCAATTATACTACTAATTACATTTAATCTATTACTATTTATACTAAGAACCTCAAGTTCATTATAAACCTGCAATTTCAATTTTTCTAATTGTACTTCACCAAAAAAAAGATAATCATCAATTATTAATATTTTTAGTTTATATAATTTTGGAAGTATCTCTTGAAGTAATGTATTATCAATACCACCTACATATTGAAAATATATTCTTAAATAATTGAGACTATCTGCCTTTTTTTCTAGTGCATAAAAAACTTCTTCATAAGGGTTTTCTGTAAGAAAATCATCATGAAAATCATCTTTCCATTCAAAATGTTTCAAGTTTTTCTGAGCTTCAATTAACATAACAATTCCGTAATTGGGTTTTGAGTACGTATTAACAATGATGAGTCTCTGTATATACTGACAGAATGGTGATAATTTTTTAAAGTATGAAGAATTAATTGATGTATCACATTTTAATTCACAAAGTGATTCAAGAAGAACTTTAGCTTCTGGAAAAATTAATATTCGATGTTGAATTGACCTCATATCTAAATACTCCAATTCCGGACATTTTTTCATAAAGAATTCATAAAATTTATTTTGCATAAAAAATTGATTATAACTTAGAGATGAACCAATAGAAAATATACTATTTATAGTATTTGCATTGATACTTCTACAGAAGGATAAATAATCAAACAAGAGTGATTGTTTTGAATCTGAAGGTAATTTAATTCTTTGATTTGTTATGAATTCTTTTATATCATCAATTAAATAATGAAAAATAATGATGAATAAAGAGTTTTTATTTCTATAATTAATACTATCGTAGCACCAAGGATTCCTCCATAAAATTGGGATCGCAATTTTACACCAATATCTATTGACCATTAGACATGAAAAGAGAGTTTTAGAATCTCTTGGTAATTCTTCAATTATTATGGAAAAAATGTCATTATTGAGTTTGGACATTCTTGATTCAAATAAATAAATAAAAATGGCTTAAAAAAACTTTTTACAACTGAAACTTTAAAGTATTTTCAAAAATGATTTTTTTACAAATATTAAGTTGTTGCAAAAAAAATAAAATAAAATAAAATAAACGAACCTTATTATTTTATTTTACGAGTAATGTTTCATAATGGTGAGACAAATATTACGCCAAATATCATGATTGGTTGGGTTGGTTATCATTTCGGAATTCTCCGTAGCTAATTTTTGGCTACATGTGCGCGATCACGTGATGAAAGTGATATCATATCCGCGGATTTTTGGAATCACAGGATGTTTTAATATTTTAATATTAATACTTTTTTTTTTTTTTTTTTTTATAAGCTAGAAGCAAATCATAGTATAAAATACTACCTACTAACTCCATATCAATTATGGATGTATTAACAAAAGTTAACACTAACGACGACTATTCTAACCCTAAACTATAAAGATAATAAACTATCTAAAAAGCAAATTAAACTAAACATTATAAATTGTATAAATCTGGTCTATGAATATAACCCCACGTCCTCAATTTCATCTATTTCACTAATTATGCGTTTACGTTTTTTATCACCTTTGGTGACGCCTTTTCTATTTTCAATTTCATTAACTTTTTTATTACACCTCTGCAACCAGATACCCGAACGATTTAAATAACGATTTTCCCAAATTTCTTCTAACAACTGTCGTTCTTGTTTAGAACTACATAACTTTGTATAGCTCGTTATTAAAAATCCCTCTAGTTAATTCTCTAATTCGCAACTGACTACCTATAATTAATATATTGGATGAAGCATTGAAGAAATTAACTATTTCTTTTGCTAAAATTCTAACGATTTTATATTTTTCGTTATCTAAATCCATTAAAATGTCATATTCCGTCTTTTCATTGTCATCACATGACCATATACTGTATGTTCCCAATCTTCAACCACTAATTCACATCTTATACAAATATCTGTTAATATGTGACCGCAATTTCTTTCAAATAAGACTGCATATGTTGGTAATATTTTCAACAAATTTTTAATCTTGTACGACCTCAAAGCGTTATCATCTCCGCTCGTGAATTTCTTATTTGGTGAGATTCCTTTTTGAACGTATTTTTCCAATTAATTTCTTGTAACTCGTTACGGTAGCATATATCCTCTAGGTAATGACATGTTAAAATATTTGCTTTATATTTAATATGATTAATTTTTTTAACATAATTTCTATAGTCACCATACAATATCTTCTTTTTCCATCGTAATGTGTAAATATTATATGCTACCGTATAACGGGGGCCACAGTACCCCGGGTATGATACAGATTTCAGAGGTTTTGGCCTTATACCCCCCCACCATTGCGTGAGTTTTTATTATTAGTAGATATGTATATATAAAACTTATATAATAATTGGGTATTTATCATGAGTAATACCTAGGTATTTATTAAATTATTTTAAATAATAAAATCGTAGAAAATGGGAGTTCTTTTTTGTAGGGTACTGTGCATAGGGGAAGTACTGTGGCCCGCAAAATACGGTAAATCTACTAACGAACAAGAAATTATATTTTGGTCACATATTATATTATCATCGTTAAATGATTTGTCCTTTATAAACTCTCTCCATTCTATTTGCTAATTTTTATCGCACATCAATTGACATATGAAATTTAATTCAACAAAGTATCTATTATTTAACATTTTTCTCTTACTATCTTCTTCTAAATATCCCAATATTATACTAATTAATGATTTTTCAATATTTATTTCAAGAGAAGCGTTATTTTTAACCATGATCATCAATAATATTAATCCATGCAAATTTGCTTTAACGTTATCCACTTCTAAAATTTGTATTTCAACACTGAATTTTATGTCATTTACTTCAACCATTTCTCTGTCAGACATAATATGATATCCGATCTGATATTTTGATAATCTTTCTTTTTATTATTCCAAACAGTGATTCCCTTTTAATGTTTGTATTGAGTTTGAAGATTAAAAATTCTTCCTCTGCAATAAGAGCCATTTTATCTTTTAAACTGATCAATAAGCTACAATTTAGTAAAATTTATTAAACATTGTATACAATCTTCATATACTATAGTAGTACAGTCAAATATATACCCCTAAGTTTTTTTAGGTATATCAAGAAAATCACGTGATTAATATCACAATTTCGGCCAGAATTAATATGTTTTGGCATCAATTAATTTAGGCAACAAATTAAGTGGGTCTAATTCTGGCCGAAATTAATTACTTTCAGGTGAAATTGGCAAATAATGTGACTAAGTTCGGTATATCAAAAATTTTTTTATAATAAGCGGTAAATCAAAGTTTGGCATACGTTATAGACAAATTTTTTCATAATATGGCTTGTCTAATCTCGATATAACGAACTCTTGCTTTACCGAATTTTTTTTTAAAAACTGTTTTCATAATATTTAAAAACATCTTGATATACCGAAACATCATATAAACTTTATATACAGTAACTTCAAAATTATCTTGTAAAATATTCAAAACAACTTTAACAAATTTTTGACAGATATTTAGGTGTATAATATTGTTATAAACTGTTATTTAGTAACTACTACTATATCTGCGATTATTCTAACTTCCAAGTTAGGTGGGTTTTAAGGTATTTATTATTATTTTTTTTCAAGTCTGAGTCGAAAAAATTTTTTGATCATCTGATCGATATTACATTGGATTATCATTTTACAGTTTTGAAACTTAATTACCGTTAAATAGAAAAATAATTAGTATAAATCTAATTCCAAATCTGCGGATATGTTTATAACATGTACAAATTGTAATTGAGCATATCGAAAATTTTTTTTTTTTACAAAATTATTTTACAATATTTAAATAACAAAACTATATAAATAATGTTTTTTATCGTAATTTTTGGTGATATAAAAATTGAAAAATAGCATGTTTTTAATGAAAATATTGATCAAAAGAAAAAAAAAATTGATAAACAAAAAAAACCGCAATAATGATTAATAGTACATTTATATAAAAAAAGATTGATGGATTAAATGTGCGTATGTTATCATACATTTATGATGATTTGCTTAAAAAATTGTACCAAGGCGAAATAAATTTGACGTTTATAATAAAAATGATCGATTACACGTTAATGTAGTTTATTATTCATTTCACGTCATTTGTAGATCTTGCAGCTAAAAAAAAAATGAAACCAGACAGTTAACAAGCCTCTTTTTGTTAAAGAAATAGGAAATACTGCACTAATTATGATTTATTACTAAAACAAAATTTTAATTCTAATCAATTAAAACATATTTTATTTTATTTCAAAAAAAGGCAGGTATACTGCTGCAACAGATACATAATTACAGTGGTAACGAATACATAACTAACTACGTATACATATCAACTAGTTATGCATCCCATGAACCTTTTGAAGTGATCCGGTAGATAGTGACATAGTCGCAGTACCGGGACCAACGTAAAGGTTAAATATTGAAATATAAATTAAAGGGGTAAGAAATATAAAAATCTAAAAAGTAATAGGAAAAATCAAAAGAATTTAATCATGGTATATTGTGTAGAAATTTGAACTAGTGAAATAAATCGTCCGTGCCTTGTCTATAAGTACTGTAAGGGTTACGGTAGGGATGAGCTTGACGTCGTGTACGCAATCGTAGCCTCAAATGTGGGTGGAGGCGTGAATCAATTCAACTATTTTAGCTCAGGTTTATTAATTAATCACATGATCAAGTGATCGGTTTTAGGTCAATTAAATTCACTATACGAGGGAATTGCTAACAAATTGAAAATTGTTACACGCATCGGCGAATATTCATTTTCTTATTAAATATAAATAATAATTGTAGAAGTTAAAGGTTTGTTTTTATCATTACTAATTTTATTTCATAGGATAATATCATTAACATTAATATGGACGCTTGAAAAAATGGAAATATTTGAAATCAACGTATAAGCTGGATTTGAATTTTTCCAGAATTTTCTCATTTATTTACTTAACAACTTAATTGAGGTAATTTGTCTTATGAAAACGGAAAAAGCAAAATTATTGCCATAATATAAGCGAGATAAAAGAAGAAAACAAAGATTCTTTAAAATAAATTTTTGTTGTTTTACTATCGTATTTTTTTTTAAAAAAAACAAAAAGGATTGCATTCTTTTAAAAACAATATACACGAAAAAATTCATTTGATTGTTCGTTTATTGATTAATATGATTTCTATAAAGATGTTTTAAGAAAGTCAATGACATTTTCAAGTGGGAGCCGCTCAAAATCCCAACGATCTGAATTACAAACCCGACACTCACAATCCTGACAAATCATATTCTCGAAAATTCAAAATCACGATTCCCGACGTTCATTATCTCGACTCGACATCCCGATACATTATTTTTTTTTAATTTATATGTTATTACTTTTCTTATGTAATACCTATAAAAATTTATCCGTTGCTTCTGTAAAAACTCCGTAAAAATGAGCATTTCACGGATTCACGGAAAATGAAAATAATTTAAAAAATTCCGTGATATAAGGTTATTAATTTCGGAAATATGAGCCTTTTACGGAAAAAAGATGGAATACAATAAAACGGATCGACTTTTTTTATTGTAACAATTAATCTTTTTATTAATATAGTTTTAAAATATATCGCAAATGGGTTTATTGTAAAAACTTATATTTCTTTTCTGCACTTGACATTAAAAACAAATCCATTTTGAAATACTAAACTAAAATATTGTCATTATAATTAATTGTCAGGAGGATAATAGATTGTGAGCGTCGTGTTTGTGTTGTGACGGGATTCTAATCGTCGGGATTTCGTAGTAAATCTTTTCAAGTACATATTTTGCTGGAATAAGCACCCCAGACTTACAATATAACGACTATGATGTTGTTTAACTCGAATTATATGCAAAAAAAGATTTCTTATCTTGTTTATTGTCATATACAGATTATATACTTTTTTTGCACAGTATTTAAGCGATCAATTATTTGCAAATGTCGTGCAATTGTAAAAAGTTCAAATATTAGAAAACAATTTATTAATTAATCTGATGAAGCTATATTATTTAATAAGAATAACTAGATTATCATACATTATAATAAATCTACAACCTTTCCCAAATAATACCTTGAATTCTTGCTAAATTAAATGTTAACCGACATTTCGGCTTACAAGACATTAATACAATAATTAATTAAATCTAAATAACACAAATAATCAAAATTTTTGATAACTCCTTCACTTTTATATTTATTGATCAGATTTTTATAATCCTCTCTTAAATAAATAGGATCAATAGTGAATATAGAAAGTGCACGTCTACTTCTCCATTTTTCTAAGAAATCCTCCAAGTTTTCCAAAGAAAATTTAAAATCATCACCAAGCCTAATTTCTTTTAAATTAGTTGGTGCTGATCTAATTAATATTTTTAATAATTCTTCCCCATTTTTCTCGTAAGTTTCTACTTTATCTCTATTCCATAAAACTATTAATAATGATTTTAAATTTTGACAAATTTTTAATAATTTTTCAAATTCAGTGAAATGATTCCTTGATGATGGAAATGTAATTGATAAATATTCAATAGAAGGACAATTTTCATAGACTTTTCTAATAAAATTAAGTGAATTCTCATAAAAGTTAAAGTCATCAAATTCGAGATCAATAATATCATAAGGTCTAAATAAAATTTTTTTGATACGTCTTCCATTATTTTCAATTATACTAGAAATTATGTCCAATTTGTTAAAATGCACACTAATCACTTCAAGTTCATGATATGCCATCATTCTCAATTTTTCTAATTGTTCTTCAGCAAAATAGAGGTAATCATCAATTATTAATATTTTTAGTTTATAGAATTTTGAAAGTATCTTTTGTAATAATGCGTGTTCATAATTATCCACATATAGTAAACATATTCTTAAATGACTGAGACTTGCTACTTTTTTTTCTAGCGCAAGAAGAACTTCTTCATAAGGATCTTCTGTAAGGATATCATCACAGAAATTATCTTTCCATTCAAAATACTTTAAGTTCTTCTGAACTTCAATTAACTTAGCAATCCCATGGTTAGGTTTTGGGTCCACATTAATAATGATAAGTCTCTGTATATATTTACAGAATGGTAATAATCCATAATAGTATGAAGAATCAATAGATGTATCACATTTTAATTCACAAAGTGATTCAAGTCGTGCCTCAGCTTCTGGAAAATAAAATATTTGATGTTTCATAGATTTCATATCAAAATACTTCAATTCTGGACATTTTTTCATAAAGAAATAATAAAATTTTTGTTGTATAAAATATTGATTATAATCTAAATTTGATCCAATAGAAATTATATTGTTTATATTATTTACATTAATACTTCTGCAGAAAGAAAAATAATCAAACAATAGTGATTGGTTTGAATCTGAAGGTAATTTGATTCTTTGGTTTGTTATAAAATCTTTAATATCATCAAATAAATAGTAAGCAATAATAAAGAATAAATAGATTTTATTCTTATAATTAATATTGTTATAGCACCAAGGATTCCTCCACAAGATTGGTATCACAGTTTCACACCAAAGTCTATTGACCATAAGACATGAAAAGAGGGATTTTGAATCTTCTTGTAATTCTTCAAATATTAAGAAAAGAATATCTTTATTGAGTTTGGCCATTCTTTATTCAAAAAAAAAATGTGATTTAAAATGGCTTAAAATAATCTTTTTACGACCGAAATTTCTAAAAGTATTTTCAAAAATAATTTCTAAAGTATCAACAATATTATATTAAAAAAAAGAAATGAAAAAAGAAATCCAGTTCTGATCAACTTGCTAAATTTGAGACATTTAATTTGATTAATTGACACAAGTAATGTTTCACGATGCGAAAATAAATAAGCAAATATTACACTAAATATCATGTGATTGCCTATCAATCGGAAAAAAAATTTATCGCTGTTTTCAAAAATTGTGAAACGTAAACAATGGGAAAATCTTATACACTACCCTGTGATGGTTTTGTCACTTAGTCACGTGATGACATGTTTATTTACTAGCCTGATCTCTATTTGTCACCGCATTATATGTCACCTGTACTATCACGTTTAAAGTACTATTATATTGTGACAGAAGATTCCCCCGTACAACGTAGTATAAAGGGAAACTTGCAATTCAGGAAAATAATTGTTTGTCTCATAACCTAAAGTTACTAAAAAAAATTGCTTGTATCTTATAAATAGATGTGTGAACTTTTAAAGAATTTCAAGCTCAGGTGATCAACATAAAACTAAAATTTCGAAATTTGATTGGATACTTATGAAGTCGCGCTCATTTGTTGATCATCACCTGATTCATATATATTTGCGATAAATAAAAATTTTTTAAGAATAAAATCATTTCTATATGTTTTCCATAATCCTGTACTAATGAGCCTACAGCCGTGTCTATTTCAAATACTCAGGACAAAATCCAGCAAAATCTGGTCCATTATGTAATTAATAGAACAAGCAATTTTATTATAATGAACCAATAATTTAATTCGGTTTACCAAATTATTTTACCACTTTTTTTATTAATTATAACCATTTTGTGAAACTTTAGTGATAACACAGAAATTTTAAAACACCAATAAGATATGCGCCAGCGAACAGCAAATGTAATATGAAACAGAAAATGAAGATATTCTTTTTAAACTTAAGACCGATATACTTTTACTGTTTGCAGTATATACTTGTTCGATTGATTAAGTAATAGTATTTATTGTAAAGGTAGGTTATAAATTTATATTAATTTCAGTTTCTATTTTATATTGACCATGGAATATACCATAAATAAATCAATGGTACGAAGGAGTATTTTATGAAAAACATAGAAAATAATGTTATACTATGGCTATGATGCAGATAATTTGCGAGTAAGTTCAAGAAATATTTTTACAGAGAGATCTAATCATCAGATTCATGATATGTTGCTTATAAATACTATAATGTGGTTTACATTTCTTACTTTATTTGAAATTTCAAATTCATTAAGAACTCTTAATGCATTTTCAACAGGAATAGGCATCGCTCCATAAAGCCTATACTATTATTTATCTTTTGAGATTTTACTTTGAGGAACAAGGGTAGCTAAATTCGTCATGAAATTATCATCACAAATTTTGTAAAACTTTTTTAACCAGTAAATCAGAATTTTTTGTGATCATACTGTATATATAAACATATAAATTTTGAAAATATAGTTCTGTGAAATAACTGCGGCAATAAAAATCAAATATAACTCTTATACTTTTCCTTGATTAATCCTATAACAATTAATAATGAAGTTGAAATCTCTAAATTTTTAGTTTCAATGAAAGGTAAATCTGGCTAGAAGATTAATGATTGATCACAAGAACAACCTCCAATTCACTGCATGCATGTGAAAAGGTGTCATTGCGAAAAAAAATAACATAAAAGTAAATGAATAACCTTTATTATAATCTTCATTATATGATGATCCCTTTAGTAAGCGTGAATTTATAGCGCCAAGATGGTTCCTTATTTCATAATTTTATAGTATAATACAACTGGAATGAGAAAACTTACTGAACTCAACTTACTCTTGTTTGATATCAAAAATTCATACATTAAATGCGAACTTTTAAGTTGTGTGAAACTTCATCTGATATTATATTAATCATTAAACTTTCACTATCATGCCTAGAGATTTAAAAGACAAATTAAAATTAATTGAAGAAATAATCGCATCAGGAAATTATTTCCATGTAAAATATACATTGAAATCCAAATCAAATAATGTGGAATTCTGAATAGCTCCAATATTTTCCAAATGCCCCGTGACAAAACACAGCGTAGATCCACAAAATTATATGTGAATCCACGTAGGATATATGGAAATGTATGGAATTCCACATATTTCTGAACTTAGCCATATGGAATTACGTTGTCTGATATACCTAAAAATTTCATGATGCGGTTCTTCTGGTAATCCAAATTATATATTAATAAAAAAATTATATAAACTTTTGAATTATACATTATTTAAGTGGATTAGTGAAATTCGATGTAATGGAACAATCTGCTTCATTAGTAAAATTTGTCAAAACTCCGTTATATATAGAAATCCGTTATATTGAGGTTAATTTAATTATAGATTATGATAATCTGTTTCAGATAATCAAGACTTATGTTCCGTTATATCAAGGTTCCGTATATCAGATTTCACTGTGTAATTACTATTTTTAAATAATTATTTTATTATTAAATTTTTTTGTTACTTAATTATAATAATTTAATATCAAATAAATTTGATTTGCGCATGGTTAAACTTAAAAATGTAATTATTTACTGCCTAAGATATTAATAAAAAATTACTACAAATTGCTTTATTAATACCCTATAAAAATTTTATCCGTTATTTCTGTAAAAACTCCGTAAAAATGGGCCTTTCCCGTATCCATTCATGGATAATGTAAATAATTCCCTTACGAAGAAAGATGGAATATAAAAAATGAATCAACTTTTTACAGGGATAATACTATATTAACACTTCCAAAAGTAATTGTTATTTTTAGAATACTATTCAAAATTAAAAAATTCTTTATGAGTAATTATGTAAAGCATAAAAAAATTGATAGATTAAAATAAAAGTAAAGTCAGGTGAATTATATGTGAGTAAGTTATTATCTATGATTTCTTGTTTAAAAGAAGTAGTATTGTAAAGATATTAATTGAATTTTAAAGTGCAAATACGAGTGAAATCCTATATTTATTTGCATGAAAAAAGTACTCTTTTACATAACTTTTGCATAAAGAATAGAATATAAGCGTGAAGTTGTATTTATTTCCTTGTGACACTATAATAGATAATTGTAGAAGTAATTGAAAGTAAATTTTTCATCATTTTTCTTATATATACTTAATACACTTCTTTCTTATTTCAAAGGATAATATTAATATAGGCACCTTTAAACTTTGAAAAAATAAATATATTCAAGTTTAACATATAAACTGGGTATGAAATTTCACGAAATTTCCTAATTTTTATTAACTTATGAAATGTTCAAACTTGCCGACTGTAAAAGAAGACAAATAACCAACATATGTTAATAGAATCTTTATTTTTCCTTTTATTTATTTTGCTTATTATAATTACATAAATTCCAGTACAATTTATGATTATATATGATATTGTTATATTAGTTCTTTTAGGTTTATAGAAAATAAATGGTTGTAAAAAGGTAAGCAGAAGGGCTATGGTTGCATGATTGATCAAATACGTTAGATTTCCTGTTGTCAGACATTGTCAAACATGTACAAAAGATCTTATTATAATTTTTTTTGAAGTCGAAAACCCTATGCATCAAGGCTGAGCTTTATTTATTTATAATAAAAAACTATACATTAATCGATTTTAAAAAAAAATACATAATATAAATATACTTTAAAATATAGCAATAACATAAAAATATAATGTTAATATAAAACGAACTAATACAAAATTATATAAAAATCATAAATTTTATAACAAGAAATTGATTATTAGTGGGAGCTGATTTATTTCATTGCATTATAAGATAATAAGAACTATTTAAAGTAATAAGCTTTATTTACTAATGAATTTATGTAAAATTTTCATGATTAGGTATTTTTAAATATTGTTAAGTCAGTTCTTTGATGTTTATAAAAATAAACAATATGCAAATGCCCTATAAAAAATTTTTATCCGAATATTTCCATTATTTCTCCGTGTCTTCTGTAAAAATTCCGTAAAAATGATACATTCACGGATATCCGTGTTAGCGAGATGAAAATTTTCATGATTTAAGGCTATAAATTCCATTAAAATGATACATTCACGGAAAAAACATGGAAAGATAAAATACGGATCAGATTTTTTACAGGGATGGTAAGCAGAAGGATTATAATAGTACGAAAACTACACAACAAATCCAATCAGATGTGAATAAGGTATGGCTCTACACTAGCTCATACAATCAGACACAAATAAAGGATTAACAAAATCAAAGTGTTTTCTTATACTATAACTGAGGAGTAAATTCTCACTCTTATCTGCAGTGGGACAGAACTTAATTTATAATAAATTTCATATATATATTGATATAGCAGATATAAAAAATAAAATAAACATAATAAATAAAATAAATTTATCTAATTTAACTAATAAAATAAATATAGTAAATATAACAAATAAAATATATATATTAAATTTATCAGCTACACATGATTTTCATGACATATCATACATCTGACATTCATGATATAGATCGTCTCTTGTTTAAATGATTGACGATCACGTGGCATCATCAATAAGATATTTTTGCAATTTAGTCCTATTTTCCTGTAATCTTCCATATTCTTTGATCAAATTTTTATCCACCTTAATGGAGTTTAGATCAAAGTATATAATATCCAGATTTTTCCATGTGCAACCTATTACAGTCTTCCCTTAAAACCGAAATTTGTCGATGAAATGCAAGATGTTCATTTATTCTTTCATTTCGGAGTTGCTAAATGTACTCATCTCTTTCTTGGACTTCATTCAATAAAATCTCATTTTCTGCGACCAATTGATACTGTTCATAATTAGTAAGAGGGGGAGGATGTTGTTGTTCTGCTCATAGCAACATAAGTTTGGTGTCATCTTTGCTTATATCTAAGTTGTTCGCTAGGAGTTGATAGTTGATCCAAAAGTTGTCCTAAATAAAAGGAGTTAATCATGGCCAATTGTGTATCTTTAAGGCATATTGACTTTGTTACACTTTTTAAGATTGCCTCCATATGCGAACATAGATGCATCCAATGAAACTGTGGTATGAGGTAATGTCAATATAGTAAGTGAAAATGCATTTTGTAAAGGAAATTGTGTGCATCTGGCTGGAGCACCATTTACTAGTACTAACCTCCATCAAAACCTCCTTCACATTGTCTCTCCATTTGGAATCTACTATTTTTCTAATGATAACATAACCGCAACATCTATTATGTTTTTAATATCATCATATGGAAGTAAGTCATTTCTGTTCATTGCCTAGTATATAATGGTAGCAGAATATATAGCATCAAGAGGTTCTTCTAGTAAAAGTTTTTCAACCTTAGGTGCTTAGTATTACACATATTGATCCATTATAAATTCCTTTAGAAAAGTATTTGTTATTAAGAAACATAACTCAAGATCCTTTCTTTAAGATGACCTCACACAGATAATTTGTGTATTCATTGAACAATTTTATCAGTTTATCAGTGCTTTTTAAGTTCATCATTATATCTAATGAAGGTAATTGCAAAGCAATAGGCATTAAGATTATATGCTAGTTTTTCCTGTTGTAAACCCAATATTACAATTGTGAATAGTTATCCCATAAAAGAATTTTTTTTTGCACATGGTGCAATAAGTATGCACATGATGATTTTTAGTGTCAACTTTCATCATTATTGTCTGTCTTCTTCTGATTCTCTTTATTTGACATATTGCTTATACTGCTGGCTGAATCTGATGCTTGGTCTGAATAATACACTTCCCAATTATTAAAATGGTCTGTAACTTCCCAATAAAATTGTATTGTCTCAACTAATATATCAAACGATGGTATTATTCACCTCATTACATTAACCAAATAATCTTATTAAATATTTGAATTAATATTTCTATGGGTAAATATTGAACAATATTTGTTTAACATTATTTATGTTCTTTGGCATATTTGGTTAGGCCATTGTCATGCAAGATCTCATTAATAGGCACTTCTTATCCTATCATCTCATTAAATTAATTGGAATTACATTACCAAATATTTGTATTAAAATTTCTGTTGGTAAATTTGGATGATATCTATTTCACATCGTTTTGTGTTCTTGGTATTCCATTGTCATATGAGATCCATATGACAATATTTGAACAGTTAAATTTTTAAAAAAAAATATTTAAAAAACCACCAAAGTGATTTTTAAAAAAATTGATAAGTAAACCAGTTTAGTAAATCATATAACTGATACCAAAACTACAGTTACCCAAAACCAACTAGTACCCTCTCTATAGGTCCAGTAGTAAATAGGGAAAGTAAATGTCTACCTTTCCATTTCTAAGAATTTCTTCAAATTTTCTAAAGAAAATTCAAATCTATAACAGAACCTAATTTCTTCAAATTATTTGGTACTGATCTAATATTTTTAATAGTTCTTCTCCATTCCTCAAAAGTTTTCGTCAGTATCTTTTCTGCCAATATATATTATAACTATGAATAATAATTCAAATGTTTATAAACTTTTAATAATTTTTTAAGTTCAGTGAAATTTTCTTTTGATGGTAAAAATACAATTGACAGATATTCAATTGAAGGACAATTCTAATAAATTATACGAATAAAATTGAGAGAACTTTCATTAAAGTAATAACCTTCATAATCAACATAATCAATATCATAAGGATTGAACAAAATTTTCTTAAGACTTCTTCAACTATACTAGAAATTACATTTAACCTATTATACTTAATATTAAGAATTCCAAGTTTATGATAAATCTGATTTTCAATTTTTCTAATAGGATTCCTCCATAAGATTGGCATTACAGTTTCATACCAAAGTCTATTGACCATAAGAGGGATTTCAAATATTAAAAAAAGAATATCTTTATAAAAAAAAATGTGGTTTAAAATGGCTTAAAATAATCTTTTCACAACCGAAATTTCCAAAAGTATCAAAAAAATACTAATATTAGGTTAAAAATAAAAATAAAAGAAACGAAAATTATATTAAATTCAATTCTTGCTAAATTGGATTATAAATGAAGTAATGTTACACAATAGCAAAACAAATATTACGCCAAATATCAATATCATGTGAATGCCAATTAATAAAGCAAGTAATTATGTGCAATCGTGCAAGATGACGATAACTGGTGACAGACCATGATCGTCGTTCACGTGACAGAAAGATCAAGTCCGAAGTTTTTGAAATTCTCTTACCAGAATGTGGTAGCTCTCAGACTGACATTTGATAAACCCGGATACCGCGGGGGAAAGGTATTAGTCTTGGTTAGCCTATAATTAAAGGTTTTAGTAGTATTGTAGTTGTAGTAGTATTCAGCGAATGAAACTTGGTGTTGGATATCTCACGCCAAAGAAATTCCATCGTTAGTGATGGAAGTAGTGAAGTTTGTGAAATTTGACAGATATATCGCATCAATATGCTTTTAAATGAGGTTTGAAGATTTTATAATTTTAAATATCTTTTTCTTTAAAGTATTAACTGTTAATAATTTTTATTTTAAATATTTAATATGTCAAATCACATTCATTAACCAAAACTCTAGCATTTTTTCAATATATGGAATATCTCAAAATCTATAAGAAATTATATTATAATTCTTGGAAATGCAAATGATGGAGGTTTAATAAGTTATATCAATATAGTTTGGAATTTATTAATTTCCACATAGGAAATATATTAGAAAATTGCTAAAGCTGATTATCACCATACCAGCATTAAGATGCACTTTTGGCCTGAATTAAAATTTAATAAAACACTGACCGGCATTACATCATAAATCCACCCCTGGTGACCATCACCACTGGTGATATTTAGCAATACCCAATATATTAATACATTATTATCATCTAATCCTAATTTCTGTACTTCCGTATAAAATTCGGATATGGGATTATGTGGAATAGTTGGTAATGTAGATAAAGCAAAATTTATAGAATAAATTCATCTTGTGCACGTAATTATTCTATTTAATATATAAGAATTATCAACTAATAAGCTTTATCTTAGCGTGATGAGCACTCCAAATATTCTTGGATGAGCTTCTCGTGTGACAAGCATCCTACATACACATCTGCATGATAAAAGACTGATACTAATCCATCAATTTGTTAGAAAAAAATTACTCTTTTATTTCTTTATGCTATTGTTGGAATTTTTTTCTTGATGTTAGCGAAAATATCTTTTTCTTTTTTTGTGTATAGTAATAAAGTATAATTTAATACAATATATGCATATTTGTTTGTCAACAAACATTAATTTAAAAAAGGGCATTGCTAGTATTAGCAAATATTAATGGGCGGAGTTTCATGACATTTTTAATTCTGCCCAAAATTCTACCTTAATTCTGGTAAGGTGACAACCACCAGCGGTGATATTTAGTAATACTCTTTAAAAAATAGTGAATTTAAGGAATTTAAGATATATTTTAGAAAAATAATACCTCAATTCTGCGAAAATAACGCTTATTTTAATATATCCTAAAGATTCATTTTACGTGTAGTGTGTACCTTCCTGTAAGGACAAAGATATTCATTCCAATTATATAAATTACGTCTAACGTTTAGTATAAAATCGTAAAAAAAAAATATTATTTATTGCAAAATTAAGAACGATCTTTTAACATTCTTTCTTTCGGTGAAATTTCTTTTTGTATTACGGTAGTGGTGGTAATCGCTCGATTTAAATATTATTTTGTTAATAAAACTATGAGAGTCTGAGAAAAGGAGGTTTGAAGAAATTAAGTTGTTATTCAGAATTAATTTTTTAATTTATATTCATTAAAGGAAATTAGTGACAATGTAACACTTATTTCTTTTATCAAGTAAACACAATTTTATTTTCGACATACGAAATATATAAAGGATTATTTATTATTCAGAGTGCCGTCCAAAATCCCGACAGGTACGAAATCCCGAAAAATTGGCCCGCATTAAGCTTTAATGCTGCTCGGAATTAAGTTTCGGGATTTTTCGGGTTTTGAGTTTCTGACAGGTGGTATATTATATTATTTATTTTTTATTATTAGGGATATGTTAGGTTAGTTTGTTAGGATTTATTGCGTTGGGAGGAGGAGCTTAGGGTTAGGTTAGGGTTAGTTTGTTAGTATTTATTGCTTTGAAAGAGGGAGGGTTAGCCGGTAGGTTGGCGGTCAGAATTTTATTTAAAAATTTTATATATTTGTAAGGCAAAAATGGTAGTTATTCCGTTTTGTCCATACATATATGTTTATTGCAAATCATGTATTACAATTGTCATATAGGTCTAGGTTGGTTAGGATTAAATAAAATATATTTTCGGGATTTTGACCGTCGGGATTTTGGATTTCGGGATTTTGAGTTTCGGGATTTTGGCCTGCCGGGATTTTGAGTTTCTGGATTTATTTCGTACCATACCCATTATTCTAAATATCAAATATAAATTTCTCATGTGACAGTACAAAAATGGATAGTAATTATTATTCTTATTTTTAAAGATATAAATTCATTTTATATAATTTTATGGATATTTTTTTAAAAAAAAAATTCCATGAATATATCTAAAACTAATTAGCTTATTGAAAATTATAAAGTAAATATTACAAATGGACTTTTATGGATTTTTTTCTTGCCAGCAGCGAAGCTGGTCCCTACAAACTTACAGTTAATAAACTCTTTTCTGCAACCTGCATAGCCCCAAAAAGAATATTTCTATGCGACATAGTAATTAAATTAATAATTATTGAGAGAATCAACGTATTAATTCAATATTTTATAAAGACAAGCCTCACATTTGTGAGAAAGTGTGAGTAGGTGGTACATTATTTGTTTCACATAGTGATCATGTGGTTATGGATCCATAGGTACCCAGTCCATCGAATTATTATGTGCATTGATCTTCATGCATTTTAACAATGAACGTAATATCCGAATAATACATAAATAAGGCGTTATGCATTTTTTCAAGGCTGCACGTACGTAATCTCGCTTGGGATTATCCAAAAAAAGGAAATTTATTTTATTATTGTTACATTTTTATGGTCTTAATATTTGTTTCTAAATATAAATAAAGGTAAATTTCCTTTTTTTTTTCTTTTTCTATTTTTTTTTTTTAAAAAAAAAATGTCGCTCAACAAAGATGTACTGTTCCTAATATTTAAAGAATTAAACAAAAAATCTCTCTATTTATGTCTTTTTGTTAACAGAATTTGGTGTAATACAGCAGTACCAATTTTATGGAGGAAGCCTAATCCTTTTAATAAATCAATAGATATACTTTTTAATATATTACTTTTAAGCCTATCAGAAGAATCAAGAAATACTTTGAAGAATCATGGAATTAATCTTATTAAAGAAACATATAAACGACCTTTATTTAATTATATTAATTTTTGGAAATGTTTAGATTTATCATTTATTGAAAGAATGATTTTTCAGATTGAAAAGTCCAAAAGATCTATTGTAAGAAACGAGATATTAAAGTTATTCATTAACGATAATACAAACTTCATTGGACTTTCTATTTCACAAAATTTAGATTATCAATTACATCATATTTCTGGATTTGAATGTTGTTTTTCAAAACTTCAATCTTTTTATTGTAGTAGTTCTATCGATCAGAATATTTTAGAAAAGTTGGCTAAAACATGTAAATCGATAAAAAAATTAAAATATGATATTCATGATCCTATTGATTATCATGGAATCATTAAATTAATTGAAGTACAAAATAATTTAAATGATATTCGTTTATCTTGTTCAGATCTCTCAAATTTTGAATTTCTGGAAAAATCATTATATTTTATGAATTTATCAAAGTTGGAAATTAGATTTAACGAAACAAATTTAAATCGTTCAATACGTAAGAAATTTAAATATTTAGGAAATTTATCATTATCATTCCCCAATTTAAAAATTCTAAAAGTTAGAAATGTTCCATTACGTATTATGAAAAATGTAATTGAAGGTACAAAAGGACAACTTTCCGAAATTACTTTAGATAGTTGTAATGAAGAATATATACGAATAATTTATCAAAATTGTCCATATCTTAAATATCTTAAGTTACCATATCTACCATTTTATATTAGAACACCTATCACAGAATTTGAAAATTTATTAATTAATTGTCAATATTTAAATGGATTGGTTATTTCTGGGGTCGATAATCATGATAAATTATTTGAAATAATTACTAGATCATCCCCAATTACTTTGTTTAAGTTTGATTTTTTTTCTTTTAGAAAGATTAATCTTAAAAATATTAAGTTATTTTTTGATAATTTGAAAGATAGGAAACCAATATTACTAAAAATAAATAACGCTAATTATTTAGAGAACACGGAAGAGAAACAGCAATTTGAAAATTTAGTCCAAGAATATAAAGCAAAAGGAATAATTAAAAGGTATTTCATTGGTCTTGATGTAAATAGTAAAGACTTTGAATGGTTTGATTAAAGAAAATATTTCTTTTATGCATAAAATAATTGTTATAGACAGATAATTTAGATAATATTATTTTATAAATTTTATCGAAATTACTTATTTTATTTTCTTGTAAATAAAATTGAAATTAATATCATTATTTTTAAAGGTTTTGTTGTTTGAAATGTGTTACTGTAACTACTGATATATGGTTTGGTAAGAAATCCCGAAGCTCAGAATCTTAAGGTACAATATCCCGACACTCAAAATCCCAAAAATCAAAATACCGAAATGTCATAATTCCAACATTTCATAAGCCCGACACTTCACAAGCTCGAAATTCAAAATACGGAAATAAAAAATCTTGAAATTCATTAATAAAAGAAATTAAATCGGTATTGGATTATAAAGTTTCGGGATTATGATATTTAGGGATGACATTTCGGTATTAAGATTTTGTCGGGATTTTGAGTTAAAAATCCAAGAAACCGAATGGAGATAAGTCTGGCGAATAAAAAGATCCTGAAAAAGGGTGGGATTTGGCAAGCGTATTCATTTTATCGTTGAAATAATTATCTGAGTGCGCCTTGACCGGTATAGCGGATCGTTAAATGTTTGCGTGAGATAAGGTCGCGGTATAATGTACATAAAATATGATTCTTCTTTTAAGGTGAGCAAGGGAGATGACCGAATTAATAACGCGATGATGCGAGGAAATAAGGTTAACCGAGTCTTGACAAATATTTATAAGCAATAATGAATTATTGTTAATTCAAAATAAATACAACCAACTGTAATTATTTTGTATAATTCATTATTATCACATTTCCCATAAGGACACATTTTTTTTCAACATCATATCGATTTTGCTTTTCTCCATCAACATAAATACTTTCATCAATAAAATCATCATCAAATTGTTGTAAATGAGGCTCAATAATAATCGAATCATAAGTTTGTTCATCAAATATCGATTGAAGTATAATTCAAATAATAACTTTTGTATATTCAGATAATTAACTTTTGTATATACTTTTTGTGCTTACGGCGGGCCTTGTGCCTTGTGATTTACTGAATCAACTGGGTTCAGATATTTCATTTTAGATCTTAAATAGAAGTATGTTAAATTTCGTTCCGATCTCCTAAAAAAAGAAAGAAACAGCTAATATACTAAAAAAAAATAATAAAAGAGCTTCTTCTTCCTATTAAAAAATGAACCGAACTTACACTTAGTATTATACTAAAAAAAAAAAAAAAAATGATGAATCTATCACCTAAATTTACCGCTTAAATGTCTAAAAATAGTTTGTGAAGTTCGTTTCAATCTCTCAAAGAAAAAGAAAGAAATAGTTATTAATATACTGTAAAAAAACAACGAAACAACTTCTCCTCCCACCCAGAAACAAAACACAACTTACCTTATATCAATAAAAGGAAACAAAATAGTCAAGTATTATAAGCTAGCTTTCTTTATCTGGTCTAGGTAAGTTCTGAATTGAAATTTAAACTTTTGTTTCGTTATTGAACTTTTTTTTCTGTTAGAATAATAAGGTGAATTTGTAGGTTCTGTCGCGTACAATGATCTATAATTACACATGACTAGCTTACAGCATAAATATTTTCATATTTATCAAAAGCAGGTTTCTTTAATAGTGTCCGAAATATACCATAGTACTGTAACGGATAGATTAATAGTAAATTCGATAATTATTTTGATGTATTTGATCGTGATGCAGAGTGGGTAAAAAAAACAAGGTCATAATTTTGACTTACCTGATGTATGTGATTTTTTTCCTAAGTACATTACATGCGCGTCCTTTAACAATATTACTATCCCTAATGAAGTACATGTGTTTGACATTATGCCTATGCCTCCTGACAAATGTATGAGACGAATATTTAAGTATTGGTTTGTTGTGAAGGATGTAGCTTCACGTTATCGCCGCAGTCTTAAGGCATTTGTGATGATCCAGATTTTCCGCTCACGTGGCTTAAGTTATTAATCATTGATAGAGGAAAAGAGTATATGTGTTAAATATCTTCGTGATAGAAGAGAAAAATTCAATAACTCTGTTACAAGGTTAATAGGTATGACCTCTAACAATTAAATTTCTGGATTTACTGATAAATTATGAACTGTTCAAAAAATAGGTGTTTCAATTAATATTTTAATGTATCAAATTGATCAAAACTTGATATATAGTGATCTACAATATTATGATTCAGACCAATTATTGTAAATTTATAATTGATATTTGTCTAAAATTGTTTCAGTTTTTTATACCATTTATATATCTTAAATAAAATATTAACAAAAAAATGGTTTTAGTATAATAGTTGTACTAATTAATCAGTAATCCATTCTTTAAAAGGTATGAAACATAATTAATAAAATAATTAATTAAATTATATTCTAAAGAAATAATAATCCATCGGTATAAAACATAATTAATTAAATTTTATTCTAAAAAAACCACAACACAAAAATTACACAAAGGAAATATTATAAAAGGTGATGATATCTTTGAAGTTTTTTTTAAATTCAAAAAAAAATTACAAAGCTCTAACTCTTCCTAAAAACTCTTTAAATTTCTAAACTCACTTTTTTCTTTTAAAAAAAAAATTACTTAATCATGTATCAATCAAAGAAATATGTAATTAAATATACTAAATTTTCTGATAGTAAATATGATAGTGGATCAAAAAAAGGATCAGAATCTTTAAAGCAAATGAAAAATAATGAAAAGATTAAAAATATTCCAATTGGCCATTATCATCAGAATAAACAAGTCAAAGAATCCTCCCAATGTTATCAACAAAAGAAACCAGTAATTCCTTCAAAGATTGAAAATATTCCAATTGGAGAATGTATTCATTGTCATCAAAATAAGCCAGTTAAATTAGGAGAATGTCTTCAATGTCATCAACAAAAGAAACAAGCAACTCCTTCAAAGATTGAAAATATTCCGATTGGAGAATGTAATCATTGTCATCAAAATAAGCCAGTTAAATTAGGAGAATGTCTTCAATGTCATCAACAAAAGAAACAAGCAACTCCTTCAAAGATTGAAAATATTCCAATTGGAGAATGTATTCATTGTCATCAAAATAAGCCAGTTAAATTAGGAGAATGTCTTCAATGTCATCAACAAAAGAAACAAGCAACTCCTTCAAAGATTGAAAATATTCCGATTGGAGAATGTAATCATTGTCATCAAAATAAGCCAGTTAAATTAGGAGAATGTCTTCAATGTCATCAACAAAAGAAACAAGCAACTCCTTCAAAGATTGAAAATATTCCAATTGGAGAATGTATTCATTGTCATCAAAATAAGCCAGTTAAATTAGGAGAATGTCTTCAATGTCATCAACAAAAGAAACAAGCAACTCCTTCAAAGATTGAAAATATTCCGATTGGAGAATGTAATCATTGTCATCAAAATAAGCCAGTTAAATTAGGAGAATGTCTTCAATGTCATCAACAAAAGAAACAAGCAACTCCTTCAAAGATTGAAAATATTCCAATTGGAGAATGTATTCATTGTCATCAGACTAAACCTGTTAAATTAGGAGAATGTCTTCAATGTCATCAACAAAAGAAACAAGCAACTCCTTCCAAGACTGAAAATATTCCAATTGGAAAATGTATTCATTATCATCAAAATAAACCAGTTAAACAATGTTATCAACAAAAGAAAACTTGCTTAGCACCTTCAGAACAAATGAACAATAATGAAAAAGCTAAAAATATTGGAGAATGTATCCATTGTTATCAGGAAAAATCTATTAAATTAGGGGAATGTTACATATGTCATCAAAAAAGAAGTAATAAATTTTATAGTAACAAAAAGGAATGTCCTGAATGTAAAAAAAGAATTACAGATATGAATAGGATGATAAATGACAAAATTTGTAGCAGATGTCATACAAAATATCAAAGAAGATTCGATAATTTTAATAATCAAATAGCATGTAAAACATGTAATGAACAAAACCAAAAAAGAGAAATGTATAATGAAAATGGACAATGGTTCTGTTCATTAGATTGCATGTATGCAAAAAAGATATTGGATGAAATTGGAGACATGAAAAATATTAACAAGGAAAGAATTAACATTCTAGTGAATAGATTTACAAGTACTAATAAGAATGCAGGATCAACATACAATCTTACTTCAAAAATGATTATGGAAAAAATAGAAATAAGTATGAAACAAAACAAATCAAACATAGAGAATGTATTTGATGAAATAAAAAAGACACCTGATTATACAATAATGTATAATTTATAATAGCATAATATTGTAAAATTTAATTATAGGACGAAGATTAGTGATTAGTTTATAATTATTATATTAATTTCCAATTTGCTTCTTTAATATAAAATAAAATTTATTTTGTTAAAGTATATTAACTAATTTCAATTTTATGTTATTTCAATTTATTACATTTTATTTTATTATTTTTTTCGTGTAAACATCATTTTTTTTTAATAAAATTTTTTTTGTGGATGGATCTTTTTTTTGACGAAAAAAAGATCTCAGAAAATTATAATTAATCTAGGATTATCATAATTACAATATTTGATGTTTATTAAAAAATACTTTTTATATTACATTTTATATTCGTTTCAATAATTTTTAATTTTTCAAATAAAAAATTAATTATAAGTTTTTGCATTCAAAATTTTTGGATACGTCAAATACACCCTGTGTAACAAAAAAATAATCGCGGTGATATTAGTTCTTTTTTATTCACTAATCTTTTGACATCTTACCGATGATTCTATGATTCTTGAAAAAAGTGAACCATACCAAAATACTATAAAATGCCCTTAATTTAAGAGAATTTTAAATAATAACATTATGTGATATGTAATTGAAAATTTTGAAAAAAAAAAATAATTGTAAAAGCGTAATAATATTGAACAAACTTATTTTTATATTTTTCAGAATTTAAACCTTGAAACATACAAGACAAGACTAATTATTTAAAAAAAAAATCACAGAATAAAATATCTAAAAATATAATTAATGGGATCTTAATTTAGTTAAATAAAATGAAATAAAATATTTAAAATTCTCTCAACATCAAATAACTTGATTTTTTTTATTGGAATGAAATTGTTTTGAAGATTTCAATTTATTTTATGTAATAAATAAGATTTAATTTTTGGAATGTCTAAATCTGGAATATGTAAAGAAAAATCTTTAATAATCTAATAGAACAAATTATCTCATAGAATTTTCAGTATTCGAGCAAGAAATATCAATGGTTGATACCTGGTCTTTATATGAAAGGATTTACAATGTTGGAGCCTACTCTGGATAGACATGATTTTAGCGACGAATAAAGAATCTATCTAAAGCGTGATTAACAATATCGTAATTTCTGTTTAGAATAAATGTGTGACAGTGTGACAAATCACTTGCACGAAATTTTATTTTATATCAATTTTAAGAGACAGTCTGTCCTTCATCACAAGGTGAAGAAACAGTTATACCCATTATAAATTATTCAATTACATACGGTTTATTTAATGACTTCATTTAAAATTGATAAAATTTCAGAAAATTTTCTCGATTTTAAAAAATAGAATTTCTTATAACATTATGAATGATTCTTAAATATCTCGAACTTTGAGATTATTATGATCCTTATAAACGACAAAAAGAAGTTATAATTTATTCTTTAATATTAAAATTAGATTACATGTTATTTTTTGATTCTGCCGTTGAGTGGTTTATCGCACCAATAAAATTTGAACTATAATAGTAACATTAATAATTTAAAGTTTAAGTGATATAAATTGTTAGGATTTTAGAAAAAAATGGAGAGATCGAGCTGCACTTTATTGATAACAAAATAATAATGGAGTAACCAAAGAATTTAGATTTGAACTTAAGTAAATACTGTATAGATTTTTAAATGATAATTTTAAATTAATATTCATTACTACAATCACGTGTTTAATAAATAAGTGTTGTAAGAGTGTTGTAAGACCCTGTTTGATCGTCATTGTGGTCGCATCATCGCATGGTACTACGGTCGCACAGCACAATTTAATTTGTCCGGAATTTGGTTCCGGTATTTTTTTTTTCATTTCTTTTATTTCACTTTGTTTTTTTTTTTTTTAAAAAAAAAAAAAAATAATAATAATTATAACATTCTGTAATTTATTCCAAATAATTTTTCATTATTTTTGGATAAAAGGATGGCAAAACTCAATAAAGATATTCTTTTCTTAATATTTGAAGAATTACAAGTCGATTCAACATCACTCTTTTCTTGTCTAATGGTCAATAGAATTTGGTGTGAAACAGTAATTCCAATTTTATGGAGAAATCCCTGGTGCTATGATATAAATTATAGTAATAAAAATTATTTATTTATGATAATTGCTTCATATTTATCTGATGATATTAAAGAATTCCTAACAAGACAAGGAATACAATTACCATCAGTTTCATTTCAACCACTTTTGTTTGATTATTTATCATTCTGTAGAAGTATTAATGTAAATACTTTAAATACTATAATTTCTATTGTATCCTCTTTAGCTTATAATCAATTTCTTTTACAACAAGAATTTTATTTTCTCTTTATGAAGAAAGTTCCAGATTTGAAGTATTTAGATATGAATTTAATTAAACACCAAATATTTTATATCCCAGAAGCTAAAAATCGTCTTGAATCATTATGTGAACTAAAATGTGATACATCTATTGATCCTTCATACTTTTATGGATTAGCTCGTATTTGCCAATATTTACAGAGACTCATCATTGATAACGTAACATCAAAGTCCAACTCTGGAATTGCTAAATTAATTGAAGTTCAGAAGAATTTAAAATATTTTGAGTGGACTGATGATAATTTTAATTTTAATTATTTTACAGATGATCCTTATAAAGAAGCCTTTCTTGAATTAGAAAAAAAGGCAGGCTTTCTTAATCATCTTAAACTATTTTTCCTATATATTGATAGTTTTGATTATACAATAATGCAAAGATTATTTCAAAAACTTCATAATATAAAAACTTTAAAATTTAATGATTTTGGTTTTAATACAAGAAGTATATTGAAAACATTAGTCTATAATGATCTTGAAATCCTTAATATAGATTATTTTACAATAGATGAAACTTCAATCATAATTGAAAATAGTGGAGGGCATCTTAAAGAAGTTTCATTAAAACCTTATAATTTTATATATGAAGATGATAATTTTAGTGAAAATTCTCTCATTTTTATCCGTAGAATTTATGAAAATTGTCCTTTGATTGAATATCTATCACTTGCATTTTTACCATCAAAAAATCATTTCATCGAATTTGAAAAATTATTACAAGTTTGTCAAAATTTGAAGTTATTATTATTAATTACATCAAATTATTATGTGGACGAAACTGAAAATGAAATTTTAAAAAACAGGGAAGAAATATTAAAAATATTAATTAAATCAGCACCAACTAATCTAAGAGAAATTAGATTTTTTAATGAATTTAATGTTTCTTTGGAAGTCTTGGAAGAATTCTTAGAAAAATGGAGAGATCGGCCTGCACTTTCTATACTTACATCCAATTCTATTTATGAAGGAGAAGATTATAAAAATTTGATTAATAAATATAAAAATAATGGAGTAATTAAAAGTTTTAAATTTGAATCTTTTGTGAACGTAGAAGATATGAACTTTAAAATATGAATCATTACCATGTTTTAGCTGATTCTTTTATATTAGAAATTATTAAGTTCTTAATATTTAAAAATTGCGACTATGATAATATTGTCAAAGTTAATGGACTAAGTGGTTTTATTCACTGGTAATTTTTTTAGCAGTTCTTTCTTTTTAATAATAGTTGGCGAATCAATTTTTTAGCATTGAATTATGTATTACATCGTGAGTAATAAAAATTATAAAAAAATATCTGTTAATTTGAAATTAAGAGAGAAGTTGGATCGCTCTACATTAATAATATATTTTATAAAATTTTTTTCCAGAAGATAGTTCTGAATTATTGGTTTCTTTCTTAATTCGATTTTTCAAATATTATCATGCTATAGTTCTGCGACAGTGTCACATAATGTATTTAAATAAAATACGTGTACCATTTTAACGAAAAAAATAGCCAAGTTAATAATAAACTGTATTTTTTAAAATTTATTACATACTAGTTTATAAATATTGTGACATAATTCAATATATCTATTCAAGGAGATGATGATATTATTAATTTTAAAAGTAGTGCCATAGAATTAAGGTTGGCTATCACTAGGCATTTGTTAATTTCGCAATATACATAGAAAATTACTAACAAAACCCTATCTATAAGATATTCTAAAAGAGAATTGCTATTAGTAGAATTCTAGGCTAATGCTGGTGATGATGGTTACGGTAAGTTTTCGGATTCAGGAAATAGAGTTCAGGAAATTGAAGTTCAGGAAATAAGGATTCATTTACTTATGATCCGTCATATCGAGGTTCCGGTATATCGAATTTCACTGTGTATCATTATAAGCTATACTCAGTATAGACAAGATGCATGTTATACTACGGTGGATATACCCATTGAGATTGATAAATTTTTTTTTTATTATTTTTTTATTAAAAAAACAATTTTTTTTTCAAGATAAGTTTTAAATACTACCGGACTAGGGACAAATAGAATCGAAATAAGAACGCCTCACAATTAGGTGAGAGTTGAGCGTAGAGAAGCAGGATTTAAGGAATATTAGTACAATTTTACTTCCTCTTGATTTCTTTTTATCCTTGGATATTTGACTTCAGAAGGTTTCAATGGAAGGTAGGAATTAGGGAATAGTCATTTAGGGAATGTTAATAAACTTTATTAGCCTTTTTTTTTGTAGGTACTGCACCTACTTGAACGTCTGAACAAAGATTTTGGCCTTGGATTCTGAATGAAAGGTAGGCATTGGGAATTGGGAGTTAGGACGTTGGTAGGACCTTTACTAACGTTTCTTTAACCGTAGATACCTCCTATCTAAACGCCTTGAAGGGTACAGGTTAAGATCAACATTGCTTGGAGGACTTGGATGTAGCAATAGAATATTTGATTGTAATTTTGCTTAAAGAAACATTTTAACGTTTCATTTTTTTTCTTTTTGTAGAGAACAGGACGCGTTCAATATGTCTTCCAGGATTATTAGATGGTAAATTACGAAGTTAATCAGAGAAAAAGGAAATATTTTTATTAGAAAAAAATATATGTATATATAATATATTATACCATATATTTGACGCTATATTTTAAATTTTATTGATAATTCAAGT